GGGGCCCCCCGGCGCGGCGCATCGCCTGCGGCCCCCGCCGGGCGGCCCCTGCGAGGGGACAGAGGGGACCGGAGGGACGGGCGCACAGGAGCGGGGACGGGAGGAGGGACAGAGGTAGCGAGAGATGCAGGGGCAGAGGAGAGATCCAGGCAGGGACAGAGACAGAGACGAGAGAGGAGGGAGAGACACAAGGAGAGACACCGGGAAGGACAGTGGCGGAGGTGGAAGGGAGCCCCAAGACGGTGGCGGGGAGGCAGGCACAAAGCCAGGGAGAGTGGGGTGAGTAATGGGGGCGATACGGAGGTAAGGGGGGGAGGAGGAGGCAGGGAGGGGGCAGTGAGACCCACAGAGATGGGACAGAACAGGAGCAGGGAGAGAGGAAGGGAGGGTCACGGAGAGAGATGCAAGGGACAACAGACGGGGTGGACAGGCTCAGAGTGACAGGCAGAGAGAAGACAGCGGGAGGAGTGACAGAAATAGGGAGTGAGCGAGACCCGGAGAGGCGGGCGGGAGAGATGCAGAGACAGGGGCGGGAAGGCAGGAGAGATGAGAGACAGAAAGTTGGACAGGGAGGGAGAGCGAGCCGAGGCCGCAGACAGACCCCAGGGCCACCGGGAGACAAGCAACACAGCGATGGGACAGCGCGGGCAGAGCAGAGCGAATGCACAGGAAGACAGAAATAGCGAGCAAGGCAGAGCCCGAGACCCCGCCAGGGAGGTGCCCGCACAGACATGAAAGGCCGGCCAGGAAGGCGAAGTGGCAGGAGGGAGCGGAAATAAAAGGAAGAAAAAGTGAGGGGAAAAAATGAGAGAGGGAAAAGGGGTCAGGTAGGTGGGGAGAGAGAACGAAGAGAAATTAGAAATTAGCGGGGTGTCCTAAGGGGAGAAAATGCACCCCAGGCCTTGCCCCTCATCCCGTCACCCAGTCCACCCCTCCACTCCTGTCCCTGACCCCCATTCTCAGAGTGAGAGTCATGGGCCATGCTGGGGCTCAGGGTTGGGGGCACAGCTGTGCAGAGCTGGTGGGGGGGTCCCTGGCACCCAGCCCAGAGCAATTTAGTAAATTAGAGGAAATACAGCTTTGCCTCCACTGCCCCCTGTTGAATACTGGCCTCCCGGGGTGCATGGGCTGGGAGCCCAGGCTCCTGGGCCCTGGGTCTGGGGAGCAGGAGGTGGGGGGCTACTTCTGGCTCCCAGAGAGGCGCAGGGGCCTGCACCGGGGGCTCTGGGAAAGGGTGAGGGTCCCGACAGGCGAGGTTCTCTCTTGGCTGTCAGTCAGCCTCCTGTCCAGTTGCCATGGTAGCACAGGCCTCCTCTACCCCACAGACAGCCCCGGTGGGGGAAAGGCCCACCCCTCCGGCCTGCCCGAAGGCCTCACCCCTCCCTCTCCTCCACCTTCCCGGAGATCCCAGGCCACTGGCTTTCCGGGGAAGGGAGCAGGGGCTCCTGGCAGGCCCTCCCTCCCAAATCCTGGCTCCTCCTCGCCCCTCCTCTCCACTGCCCTTCCCCAAGCAGCTGGCTCAATCAGCGCTCAGAATAGCCCCCCCTCCACCCCAAAATAACCCACAGCTGTGGCCTGGCCCCCGCGGGGTTAACACTGGCGCTCCTTTCCCGGGGGCTGCGCACCCCTCTGACCCTCCTTTCCCGTCTCAGGCCCACCCCTTGCCTGTCCTCTGATTTGGGCCCTCAGGGTGTTGCTCCCTGCTGAGACCCAGGAGGGCAGCCCCCAGCCCCTGCCTTCCTAGGAAGCGGGAGGCCGCTCCCTTCCTTCAGGGGTTCGGCCACCGCCCCCCACCCCTCCAGGACTGAGGACTGGCATCCCCAGCAGTCCGGTGCTCTGGAGGCCGGATCCCTGGAGCCCACGCCCCCAGGGATGAGCGTCCAGGCCCCCAGCTCCACCTCCTCCTGGGCGTCAGCCCCATCTCCCGTGCAGCTACACAGGGGCCAAAGAGCGAGACCCCAGCCCTCCCCGTAGGCGGCTGGCCCCGCCCCTCCTCCCTCCAACTTCTCCCTCAGACTCCAGGCATGGCAGGCAGCCCCTGCCTCCCCCGGACTCCAGAGTTCTGCTCTGCTCTTCCCAGGACCCAGGAGCCCCGGCTCCCTCCAGTCCCCACCCCAGCAGCCAGGGTGCCTAGAGCTATATCCCTGTGCGTTCCCTAGCTCTGGCCTCCCCAGTCGGTCGCCCCACTGAGATCCTGTACATGGCACAGACTGTCCCCAAACTGAAGAGGAGGAGGAGGAGGGTGCCAGAGATTCCTGGGGTGTCCCTGTCTCTGTTGCTTCCCCCACCCCGTCCATTGCAGAAGAGGGGAGAGACCACTTTGATTGATCCATAGCTTCCCCCCAGTCACGCTGCAGACAGCAGCGTCCGTCCCCCACCCCGGGTCTCCCCACCCCAGTCCCGGTGCCTGCGAGAAGCTGGAAGGGCATTCCAGAACCTTGAGGAGGGGGTGGCAGCCTGGGGCGAGGGTGCCGGGGGCCTAGATGCCCTCAAGGTCCTTGGCAGGAGTATTAATAGCAGACTCATAGCTCGGAGGGGAGGGGCGAGCCGGAGGAGAGCGGGAGAGGGACGCCAGCGCCGAGGAGCCCGATGCGGGGAGGGGGTGCAGAGGAAGGGTGTCAGGTATGTGCCGCTGGGGAGAGGAGCAGTGTCAGAGGAAGGGGGGCTTAGGAGCTTTGTGGTGTAGGGACCCAGAAAAGGGGTTCAGAGAGGGAGAAGGGATGGAGGAGAGTCTCTGACGAACACGGGGACCCTTGCCTGCCCTGAAGCCCCTTCATGCATGAACCCCGTGGCCAACTTTAGCCGTCCTAAATTTGGGGGTCCACACCCCCACCCCCACGGTCCCTGCCCCGGCCTTACCTTTTCATGACCCCGTTCTGTAGGGGGGATTTCAGGGGGGCCAGGACCGGAACCCGGTGTCCAGGGACCCGAAGATGCTGCGGAGGGCTCGGGGAGCCGGTGGGGGGGCCAGGCCCCGGGGCGGTGGCAGGAGGCAGCGGTGCTGGCGCGCCGGCAGCAGCGGCAGGGACCTCTCGCCTGTCCCCGGCCGTCTCTCCCTCTTCCTTGGTCCTGACCTGCCCTGTCTGTCCCCCAAGGTTGCGGCCACCCGGACTAGGCGAGGACGAGGCTACACATGTTGCGCTGGAAGTTGGGCCCCGGACATTGCGGAGGCTGTCGGGGTGTCCTCTCGCGGCCTCGACCCCGTGGGGATCCCCCCTCCACCCACCAGGGGTGCCCCCCTCTGCCGCTTCAGCCCCGGCTCCTCCCCCTGTCCATGTGCCCCATCCCGCCTCTCCCTGGCTCATTCGCACCCCTCCTTTGTGCCCTCGGCAGCCCCCCCCAGCGTCTGTGTCTGTCTGTCTGCCTGTCTGTCTGTCTGTCTGGGTCACCTCTGAAGCGGTGGCTGGTGTGCGTGCTTGTGTAAGAAGCAGGAGATTGCCTGAGGGGACCGCTCACCCCTTCCTCGCTTGGCCACCTCCAGACCCCCCCCCTGGCGCCCCCACTCTCAAGCACAGGCAGAAGCACACACAGACACACGCACACACACGCACAGCCTCACTTCTCTGGGATTCCCCCTTAACACCCCCGGAGCTTGAGCAGGGAGACACACACATACACACACACACACACACACCCACACCCGCACACATGCACCAGGGGTCCGATGGGGGCCGGGCTGCCACTGCCGTCAGGGGCTGCTTGGACGGACAGGAGGACACAGGCAGCCGGGGACACCCAGACGCCCGGCCGGACGCAGGCAGGAGGCACAGCAGCCAGGTACACACAATCCATGCAGGTTTTGGGGCGGCTCAGGGGAGGACTGGGGGCCCGGCGACATGCAGGCAGGCGGCTCAGGGTCAGTACAGACAGACAGACCCCTCCTCCCTCGGCCGCCGCAGCCCTTACACAGACACACCCCCCCACAGCCCGCCCCGGCCGCCCGGACACGCATCCTCACCGGGCAGATGGCAGCCGCGCGGGAGACCCCTGGGGGCCGGGCGGACCCTCCCAGGCCGACACCCCCAGCTGGGCGCTGGTGGCCGGGAGGCCGCGGGCGGAGGGTGGCGGCTGCGGCCGTGGCTTGGAGGAGCCGGAGCGGGAGCGGGAGGGACTCGCACACTCACGGCTCCCGCACACACACTCAGTCGGGATGCGATTAACATTCAGTCCCCGTCCGTCCCTGCCGGAGACCCACAGCCCCCCCTCCTGGCCTCCCTGGGGACCCCTCCTCCTGCCAGGGCTGGGGGAGGGGCCGCCCCCTACCCCAGCTCCCAGCCTCTGGCTTCCCTCCGGACAAGGGAGGGGGGCTGCAAATAAACAGGGAGGAAGGGGGGCAGGGGTTCGGAACCGGTGTGGGGACCTTCGCTTCCGATTTAGATTCCTGGGCTACCCGCGGGAGCTGCCCCAGACCCCCTGCTCCCTCAGAGGCTCAGGAACCAGGAGGCCTTTCTTCGACTCCAGCTACCATGCTAAGACCCATCCTTGGCTTTATCGCTCCAAAAGGCTGGGCTCAAAACCTAGGTGTCTACCGAGGAAGCAGGAGTCCTGGCCCCAGCCCCTCATTCCTCAGACCCAGGGGTTCAAGCCCCAGCTGTCCTCTCTCAGAGCCGTGAGTCCAGGCCCAGCCTCTTCCCTTGGAGACCTGATCTCTGCCCTCAGACCTGAGGGTCCAAGCCCAGCCCTCTTCCCTCAGACCCCGGGGTCCAGGCTCAGCCTCCTGCCTGAGGCCCAAGGGGTCCAGAAGTCCCATCTCTACTGGCACCCGTGGGTCTGGGGACCCCCCTCCCAGCCTGAGTCCCTTTTTTAAGTGCTCAAGCATCCTGCCCTTCCCAGCACAAACCAGCCTTGGTCTCATGGATGTCACCCTCAGGCACAGTGCACGAGAGCCTCTGAGGAAACACCTCCGTACTCCTCCTTTTACTAAGGAACATAGTACTCAACAGCCGCAGTGCTCGGATATCCAGAAGGGAAGCAGCATCTGCTGTGTCCAGACCACAGCCTGGCCTCTGCGGCCCCACAAGGCCATCTGCCCATCCTGTCCCTCTGGGTGGAGCAGTCCCCAGCACGGGTATAAAGCCGCCCGTGTGCCCTGGGTGGAGGGTGCTGCGGGACGCCTGGGCCCTTGGAGGCTGGGGGTGGGCGGCTGGGTGTGGGGGGACGTGCAGGTGTGGGGACAGTTCTGGAGCCTAGGCTGGTACCAGGCCCGTGAGCACCTGAGGCAGTCTGAGTCCGAGTTTTGCCCTTGAGCCCACTCGGGAAACTGCTCTTCCCGTCATTCCCGAGGTCTGGGAGGGCTGGGCTGAAGGTGCACAGTCCTGAAAAAGAAGAGACTTGGGCCTGAATTGCGAGGTGGTGCGGGAGGAAGGGCTCGTGGGTCTAGATTCCTGGTGTTAAAACCCCTGAGCTGGAAAACGGCGAAGCAGGGGGCTGGGGATTTAGCTTAGCGGCAAAAGTGCCTGCCTGGCAAGAGCAAGGTGGTGAGTTCGGTTCCTGGTACCGGAGAAAAACCAAAAAAAAAAAAAAAAAAACAAAAAGAAAAACAAAAAAAACGGCGAAGTGGGACCCTAAGTTCCAAGACAGGGGGATATGGAAGGGAGGGGCCTGGGATCTCGGGACCCTGGGTGGGAGGGAGGAGGCTGGGCCTGGACCCCCGGGTCTGAGGGAGGAGGCCTTGGGCCTGAGGCAGGTGATGCCAAGAGCCAGTTTCTTTTCTTTCCTGATCGGAGCCGGAGGCCCCCGAGGAATGGCAGAAGCCCTCAGCCCAGCGCCTGGGTTTCTGGGCAGGACTTTAGAAGCTCAGGAGGCGCCCCCTGAGCCCTGAAGGGCAGGGTCTTGGCAGCTCTTCTCCACCCTTTAAAGACACACACTGCCTGGGTGAGCAATGCTGGGATTTGGGGGTGTCACATCCCAGCGATCCTCCAAGTTCATAGGACTCAGATGGGGCGTTCTGGGAGCCGGCCCTGCAAGGCAGGAGGTGGGCGACAGGGGGAGCCCGAGAGCCGGGGCCCCTCCCCCGGGGGCGGAGCCTCCCGGCCCGGACTCCTCCTCCGCCGCCGCCCTCTCCCTCTTCCCAGCTCCGGCTCCGCCGCCAGCTCGGCCTCGGTCCCCCTCCCGGAGCCCCCTCCCCGCAGCCAGCCCGCCGGAGGGCCCTCTCCCGCCCTCGGCCCAACCGCCCGCCGGAACAGCAGCTCGGGGGCAGCCCCCGCCAGCCCGCCTCCCCCAGCTCAGCCTGGCCCGCGCCCCCGGCCATGAATCTCTTCCGATTCCTGGGAGACCTCTCCCACCTCCTAGCCATCATCTTGCTGCTGCTTAAAATCTGGAAGTCCCGCTCGTGCGCCGGTGAGAGGCCCGGGGCGGCCCGGGAGGAGGGGACAGAAGGCGGGGGCGCCCCAGGGCCGGGCGCGGCCAGGGAGCCCCCGGGACTGGTCCCTGCGCCCACGGCGTGGTGGGGACTCCCTCTTCCGGCCTGGGGTCAGCGCGGGGTCAGCTCGCCTCCCCGGGCCGGGGGTGCACACAGTCGGATCGGCGGCGCCAGACCCCCGGTTCAGCCTCCCGCACCCCCGATCTGGGCTGTCCCGGGGGCTCCGTGCTGGGAACGCGGAGCCATGGCAGGCGGGGAGGTGGCCGGGAGTTGGTGACGTGGACCGTGGCAGCCAGGAAGAGCGCAGGGGGGAGGTGACTTGTTGGGGGGGCGCTGAGGGCAGGCAGGGTCCTCCTCAGGCCCCTCCTCCGGTCGAGCGTGTGGGAGGGCTCCAAGGAGCGCCGAGGTGGCTCTGAGGCCTAGCCTGGGACTGAGCCTCGGGCTGGAGTAGCTTTGGGGCCGGCTGCCCCCTGGCTGTGGGCCGTGGGAAAGGGCCCTGCTTGGGCTGAGCGTGCTGGGGAGGCCTCGAGGGAGAGCTGTGGTTCAGAGCCACGCTAGTCCCAGGCTCCATACTGTGCCTTAGTTTATGGCCCGTGCAGCCCACCCTCAGCTTCCTGCTCTTCTTTCTGTGTCTGGACCGCAGGGATTTCAGGGAAGAGCCAGGTCCTGTTTGCTGTGGTGTTCACCGCCCGCTACCTGGACCTGTTCACCAACTACATCTCACTCTACAACACATGCATGAAGGTAAAGCTCAGGTCCACCTCTGTGGGCCCGCTGAGAGTGGGTGAGAGACCCCTCAGGTCTGGAGGGGGAGGCAGCTGAGGTTCCAGACCCCTAGGTCTGAGCCAGGGGCAGGACCAGCCCCTTGAGTGAGGTAACCCATTGTCCTCTCTGCCAGGTGGTCTACATAGCTTGCTCCTTCACCACTGTCTGGATGATTTATAGCAAGTTCAAAGCCACGTATGACGGGAACCATGACACGTTCCGAGTGGAGTTCCTTGTTTTTCCCACGGCCGTCCTTGCATTCCTGGTCAACCATGACTTCACTCCTCTAGAGGTAGGCTAACGGCGGACTCCTGCAGTGGTCAGACGGTGGTGATAGAATGGCTGCCAGTGGCAGGCCCTCTCACACACTTCCTTCTGCCTGGTTTGCTGAGGCTTCCTTATTTTGGGACCTACACACTCAGGGCACAGGCACTGGAGTTAGGTGATGTGCATGCAGCGGTGTGAGCTGGATGCTGCTTTGTGCATCCCACGTACTGGGACTCACTGATTTTCACAACAGTCCCCTTTGCTGATGAGGAAACCGAGACCTAGGGAGCCTGAATGTCCAAAGTTGCTGACCTGGTAATACCAGACTGAATAGGCCAGGAACTGGGACAGGGCTGTGGAGCCAGGGTGCTTGAATTTGAATCCCAGGTCTGCCTCTTTTCTCCTAATATGAACCTGGGTCTGTGACTTAACCATTCCATGCCTCAGTTTCCCCAACTATGAAGTCAAGATCAGGTTCTCAGGAGATTTACGATGTTTTATAGCAGTGCCTAGTGGTTAAACATACAGAGACTCTGCTAGGTGTGGTGGCGCAAGCCTGTAATCCCAGCACTTCGGAGGCTGAGGCAGGAGGATCGTTGCAAGTTCGAGACCACCCTGGGCTGCAAAGTGAGCTCAAGGCCAGCTTGAGCTGCATAGCGAGACCCTGTCTCAAAGAGACCAAAAACACACAGAGACTGTAGAACCGTAGTGCAGGGATTTGAAGCCTGTTCCTTCCCTTGAGCACTGATGAGATTTGGAGCAGGTCATGCAACTTCTCTGTGACTCAGTTTCCTCATCTGTAAAATGTAGAGAGAATTAGTTCCGATAGAATAGGGTGCTGTTTTGGTGTTGGAAATGGAATCCACAGCCCTGTGTGTGTGTGTGTGAGGCTCACACTGTACACGGAGCCGCACCTCAGTCCCCCCGCCAGTGAGGGGCTCTGACGAGGGGTGATGTTGGGGAAGTGTCTGGCGTCACGTGGGGAGTGCTGTCCTGTGTGTTCATGACCGAAGTACTCAGTACTGTGCCTGACGCTTCTGGTCTGAGATGTTCGTCGTCATGATTTTTGTTCTGTGGCGTTTTGCCGGGGGCCGCGCAAACTGCTGGGAGGGATTCTGGGAGGGCCCAGCCGATGTCTGCGATGCTGCGTCAGCTGGTAGGAGTCATACATTTGAGGCAACCTTGCCTTACCCACGCCCGTTCCTGCCCTGCAGGAAGCCAGCCCTGGGTGGCAGGGCAAGCCGACGTTCTCGGCAGAACCCATAACCCAGTAGTTTTTAGGCAGATCTCATTTTAGAATTGTGGCCACACGTTCAAAATGTATCTCCTTAGGCACTGTGCGGGCTTGACCAGTCTGCTGGGGTGACTTTGGCCCATGCGTCCCCAGAAGTACGGGGGGGACACTGACCGCGCTGTGGTCGGAGCTCTGGACTTGCAGATCACTGTTGTCACCTGGCATAGAGCCCTGGCCTAAACCCTGGATTGTGACCACCCTGCTTGAGGAGTTGTGCACCCAGTTTGCGGAAGGGGCAGTGAGGCAGGCGGGGAGATCCGAGGTTGCTCAGGGCGGAGGGACCTGGACAGAAACGGCCTCCCTCAGGGGGTGGGGGTCACTATGCAAAGCACATTACCCCCTCCCCCCCAGTGCCTGCTCTTTTGTTACGCCGGGAAGCAGGTGTCTTTATCCTCAGTTTCTTTTTCCAGTCCTGGGGATAAAGCCCAGGGCCTTGTGGATGCTGGGCCAGTGCTCTAGTGGGAGCCGCATGCTCGTCCCCATCTGTCCTCCTTAGATTTTATTTTGAGACAGGGTCTCGCTAAGTTACCCGAGCTGGCCTCAAATTTGTGATCCTCCTGCCTCAGGCTCCCAAGTACAGGGATTACAAGTGTGTGCCACCGCTGGGCCTTATCCCATTTGTCAGAGGATTGATGGGAGGTTCAAAGGGGAGTGTTCACATGATTCGAACCCAGGTCTGCCTTCTGCTAAAGCTTGTGCTATTAAATGGTGCTTGCTTAAAAAATATAAATTTTAGTTATAGAAGGAAAATACTCTTCTTTAAAAATTCAGATATTGCTGGGCATGGTGGCACATGCCTGTAATCCGAGCAGGAGGCTGAGGCAGGAAGTTTGCTCTGAGTTCAAGGCCAGTCTGGACTGTACAGTGAGATCCTGTCTCAAAAAACAGAAAGAAAGAGAGAGAGAGAGAGAGAGAGAGAAAGAAAGGAAGAAGCCCATGGGAGGCTGAGGCAGGAGGATTGCCACAAGCTTGAGGCCAGCCTAGACTGTATAACAAAACCTTATCTCAAAAAAACAAAAACAAAAAATCTCCAAACACTAAAAAAGACAAAAACCAAACAACCAAACAAAACCCAGTTCTGATATCAAGCCATGATGTAGTCCCAGGTCTTATAAGGCTGAGGCAGGAGAATTACAAGTTTGAGGCCAATCTGTACAATTTAGTGAGACTTCATCAAAAAAAAAAAAAGTCAGTCATAGTGGTGTGCTATAATCCTAGCATTCAAGTCCAACCTGGACAGTTTAACAATTTAGCAAAGCCTACTTTCAAAAGATAAAAAAAGAGCTGGGGATGTAGCTCAATGGCACAGTGGCTGCCTGGCAAGTGCAAGGCCCTGAGTTCAATTTCTAGAACCAAAAAAAACAGGCCTGGGGGTGTAGTTCAGTGCAGAGGCCCTGGGTTCAATCCCCGATACTGCAAAACAAACAAACAATAAAAGAGATACCATGCACTACATCCAGTGCCACAGACCTCTCTCTCCTCTCATGGCGTGGTTCGGTTCCCAGACCAACTCAACGGGTGAGCGCTGGTGTGGATCAGCTCAGTGGGTGCATTTCCCATGAGCCTCAGCGGACATGCTTGCTGAAAGCCCCTCTGGAGGATCCTGGGTGGTTATGCGGGCAGGCCCTGCAGTCCAGCTGCCTGGGTGCGGAGCCCGTGAGATCCTGGACGGCTTACTTTCCTCAGCCTGCTCACGTGTGGGATGGGACGGTAGCAAGACTTACTTCCCAGGCTGAGGGCTTAGAGCAGTTAACGCCTTGGACGTAGCAAAAGCTGTGGCAGCGTGAGCTGTTTCGCCTGCATCTTGGTGTTTACCTCCTCCCTCAAACCGAAACAACCAGGCCATGCCTGCCACCTGGCTCTTCTCTGAGGGGAAGTCTCAGTTCAGTACTTGCAGGTCACAGACCATCCCAGGTGGGACTTTCACACAGCTGGGGACGGAAAAGGGCCTGGAAGGAAGTGTCAGACCAGGCCTTTCTTTAGGAGGAGACCGAAGCATGAGGCATGGAGGGTATGGAATGGCGGAGAGAGAAGTCCTGGATCCCCCACTAACACACGCACACATAAAGTCTCCAGCTCTGCTGCTCATGAGCCATGTAGTTTGGGCAAGTGCCTTACCTTTGCTGAGCCTCAGTTTCCTCATCTGTTGATTGGGGGTGTTACTATTTATAGCTTCCTGAAAGTTGTGGTGATGCACAGCTGTTACCTCAGCACTTGGGAGGCTGAGGCAGGAAGATCACCATGAGTTCAAAGCCAGCCTGGGCTACATAGTGAGACCCTGTCTCAAAAAAATAAAACAAAAGAACAACAAAAAGTTTGTAGCTTCCTCCTGGGGCTATAGTGAGAATTAAATGAAATGTAGCAGGGGCAGGATGGTGCTGGACAGGCGGCGGATCCAGTTCCCTGAGCCTCTGACTGCAGCCCCACTCCCACCCTCTCTCCTGCGATCCCCTGCACCCACCCTGGGCTCCTCCCTCCTCCCGGCCTTCCTGCAGATCCTCTGGACCTTCTCCATCTACCTGGAGTCCGTGGCCATCCTGCCGCAGCTGTTCATGGTGAGCAAGACCGGCGAGGCGGAGACCATCACCAGCCACTACCTGTTTGCGCTGGGCGTCTACCGCACGCTCTATCTCTTCAACTGGATCTGGCGCTACCACTTCGAGGGCTTCTTCGACCTCATCGCCATTGTGGCTGGGCTGGTCCAGACGGTCCTCTATTGCGATTTCTTCTACCTCTATATCACCAAAGGTAGCCTGGGTGCGGGCCCTGTCCTCAGCCGCCTGCTGTCTGGGAGCTGGGGTTGGAGTCCTGAGTCCTCTGTCCCCCATAGGAAGGAGGGCTTCCTCCTGGGGCTTTGGGGTCCCTTGTCCACTGCTCTCTGGGAATTCAGGCCTCCAGCCCCTGGCTCCCCAAGAACCTGGGAGTTTCTTTGGCTGTCATATTGCTTCAGGTGGGGATCAGGCCAGGGAGGACTTAGAACCTTGAGGTCCATTCATTCATTCAACAAATATATGAGCACTTGCGTGTCCCAGGCCAAGCATTAGGGTCTGCGGGGGCAGCAGGAGGATAAGAGATGGTCATTGTCAGGCATGAGGGCGCACACCTGTATTCCTAGCACTCAGGAGGCTGAGGCAGGAGGACTGCCCTGAGTTCAAGGCCAGCCTGGGCTACATAGGGAGTTCAAGGCCAGCCTGAACTAATCCTGTCTCAAAAAACCAAAGGGAAAAAAAAAAAGAAAAGATGGTCGAGGCCTGTCCCCTCTAGAAGTCGCGTGAAGGAAGGAGAGGCAGAGGCAAAGGTGGGAGGTGGTTCCCAGCCCAGGGTCAGGCCCTGCTGCACCCACCGGCCCCTCTTCCCTCAGAGCCCCTAGTTCCTCAGAGAGGGCAGAGGCGCAGCCAGCACTGGGAACAGCGGGGTCTGTGTCAGCCCCTCCTCAGCCCCCAGCACAAGTCCAGGGCCCGCAGTTGCCCCTGTGGTGGCCCAGGCCGTTCCGCTTGGTCTGTGATGCGGAGTCCTGGCTCTATCCTGGCTCTGTCCCTGCAGATGCCAGCTGGGTCCTGGGCACCCCCACAATGCCAGTGTTTCTCTCTACAGTCCTCAAGGGGAAGAAGCTGAGCTTGCCTGCATAGCCCTGGTCCCGCCTGGCCGGGCCCTCTCCCTGCTCCTTGGCGGCGGTGAAGGCAGCAGCAGGAACAGAGGAAGGTGACAGAAGACGGCGCCTTCCATCCAGGAGTGACTTTTTAAAGAACCCGCCTCTCCCCACTTCCCGTGCCCGCTCCTGCCGGGTTTGGGGGCTGATGGAAGACCCAAGTCTTGGGGAACTCAGGACCTGGGCTGTTTCTAGTTTTCTGCCTTTTAGAGAAGACAGCAATGACAAAACATCTTTCCGCTATTTAGTTTTCTTTTTGTTTTGTTTTGGAACCAGGAATTGAACTCAGGACCTTGCATTTGCCAGACAGGCGCCGTGCCGCTGAGCTATGCCCCGGTCACTATTTAGTTTTTGATTCTGATGAGTCCTTTCTTTTCTACTCTCTGGCCCCAATTTTTATAAACTGTTTTTGAGCATCCCAGGAGCTGGGAAAGGGCCAGAGATGTCTTCCCTTCCCTGGCCCCTCTGCGCCCTGCCAGCCCCCAGCCCCCCGACTGGATGCCAAACCCTAAATCTGCTGGTCTGTCTGCCCCCCACAAGTCCCTGGGTGGGGGACAGGGAGGAAGGGAGGCCCAGGAAGGTCTCCGCAGAGTTTTCATAATTTTTTCCAGAATTTGGGTTTTTTTGATCTTGGTTTTTGACAAATTAAGGGGGGCTCTGGGCCCAGACGTGGGAAGGGGGCTGGCCCGGGGGTCCGCACAGCTCTAACGCCATGTTTTTGTACAGAATTTGACGGTTGATTCTTTGTTCTCTTGAAATAAACAGGAAAATGATACCTTTCTTTCACTATTGCTTGTCCTCTCTGCTGATTGTGGGGTCCACCCCAGCCCCTCTGCTCCGCTTTTGCCTCATTGGTCGTGTTTGGGGGTCCAGAGGCTGGGGAGGAGCAGATGAGAAATGGGGTTCCCAAGACATTCAACTGCACAGCTCTGCTGGGGAAGAGGTTTTGGAGAGAATCTCAAAGATCCCTCTTACCCTGGCATCAAAAGTGCCTGGTGGTTCTCCAGACCTGCAGGAATCAATAGCTGCTACGTTGGGGGCCCCGCTCCCAGTCAGCGCAAGGTCGAATTTTGTCAAACGTGCTTTTCTACAAAAGAAAATGGATGGGTTGCCAGCATTTCAGAACCAGATTTTCACAGTGAAATCTGGATTTCTGGCTGCTTTTGAAAAGAGCTCCGTCAGTCTGACAGTGCCGGGGCCTCATTTCTGGGTGGCACAGATGGCTGGAGCTGAGTGGACGGGGCGCGCCATCCCCACATCCCCAGGACCTGGCTGCGTGGCTGTCATTGTTCATTACTGGGTCAGCACCGATCGCTTAGTGTTTATTTGTGGGGTTAAAAGGCGAGATATTTTCCAGGTCTCTCTCCAGATCGGCTTCACACCTGGCTCATTTCCTACACGTGTGGCACTTGCCTGGCTCTTGTAAGCACTGGATTTTTTTTTTTCCTTGAGATGGGGGTCTCACTATGTAGCCCAGGCTGGCCTCGAACCAGCATCGATCTTCCTGCCTCAGCCTCATTGCTGGGATTACAGGTGTGTGCTGCCATGCCCAGCAGCATTGGAAATTTTGACTCTTGGTGTAGTCATTTGTAAATGTCCTCTGCGCTGGCCTGGTGGCACAAGCATTTGGGAGGATGGGTCAAGGAGGATCACCATGAATTTTTTTGTTTTTGAGACAGGGTTTGACTCTGTACGTCAGGATAGCTTCGAACTCACTATGTAGCCCAGGCTGGCCTCAAACTCGCAGCAAGGGGCTGGGGATTTAGCTCAGGGGCTGGGGATTTAGGTCAGTGGCAAAGCGCCTGCCTGGCAAGCGCAAGGTCATGAGTTCGATTCCTGGTACTGGAAGAAAAGACAAAAAATAAATAAATAAACAAACTCTCAGCCATACTTTTGCTTCAGCCTCCAGAGTGCTGGGATTACAGGTGTGTGCCGCTATACCTGGCTAGGATCGCCATGATTTTTAGGCTGGCCTGGGCTACATAGTGAGTTCAAGTCCAGTGTGGACAACATAGTGAGACCAAAAACCAAACAAGACAAAAACGTAACCCACTGAGAGGAGGTCCAGTTGTTTCAGAGAAGCCGGGAGGTTCTGGAGCTGCACTGGCCCAAGAGTGGGCGTCAGTGGCAGATGACCGGTGAGCCCTTGAAATGTGGCAAACCCACGGTGAGGTGATTTTGCAACTTAGTAGGAAAGAATGGAAAACACCTCACTGGTAATTTTTATGTTGAAATGGTAATGTTTTGGACATTTGGGCTAAATATATTAAACTTCACTGATTCTGTTTTTCTTGATGTGGCTTCTGGCCAGTTCCAGTCAGAGGGTGCTGCTCTGGCACCCCCACATAGGCTGCCCTGCCCGGACTGGCCCTGCTCCTGCCACTACCCTACCAGGGTGACCCCGCTGGGGTCACCTGAGCAGGAGCGTGGGTCTCCTGCCTTTCCCAACATGTACTTTGACATGTTGAAAGACAAGGACCCCTTTGAATTTCATTGATGGACTCCAAGTCCCCCGCCCCTTACCCAGCCTCAGTCAGCGTGGCTTTGTGGCGAGTCCTTGTCACGGTGGGGTGTGAAAGGACGTTGGGCTTTGGCATCAGTAAAGCCCACAGCCAGGGTCTCTGTCCCATGGTTGGCCCCGATTCTTCTGTTTTGTTTTGTTTTGTGTGGTACTGGGAATTGAACTCAGGACCTTGTGCTTGCCAGGCAGGCACTTGTGCCACTGGGCTATATCCCCGGCCCTTCTGTTTTTTTTCTGAGGCAGGGTCTCACTCTAGCTCAGGCTGGCCTCAGTCAAGGTGACCTTTCTGCCTCAGCCTCTAGAGTGCTGGGATTATACGTGTGGCCACCATGCTGGGCTCTGGGCTTGATTTCTTTTTTTTTGTTTTGGAGACAGGGTCTCGCTATGTAGGCCTATTCAGGCTGGCCTTGAACTTGCCATGTAGCTTAGGCTGGCCTTAACCCACTGTGATCTTCCTGCTTCAGCCTCCTGAGTGCTAGGATTACAGGTGTATGCCACCACATCTGGCTTGCGCCTGATTCTTTTTTTTTTTTTTTTTTTTTTGAGACAGGGTCTCGCTATGCAGTTCAGGCTGGCCTTGAGCTCACTTTGAGGCCCAGGCTGGTCTTGAACTTGCAAGGATCCTCCTGCCTCAGCCTCCCAAGGGCTGGGATTACAGGCGCGCGTGCCACCACGCCCAGCCTTGAGGCCTGATTCTTGATAGGGCTTTCTCCCCTCAGCAGAAGTATTTGGGTCTCAGCTGCAGGATGGGGCACCCTGAGCCTCCCCCCATGACTAGTGCGGGGCCCTGAGGTGTTGCTTGGGCTTCTGGTCTCTCACCACCTCCCATCTGCTGCCATGGGAATGGTGCCCAATGGTGGTGGAGACTTGTCACCCTGTGGAGACCCCTGAGGCGAGCTGGTGGTGTTCTTGAGGAGGAGAGGACAGACGCGAGGGGCACAGGGCTGTTTTCTAGAGAAAGAATGTCTTTTTACTGTTTCGGACAAGGGCATTTAGCTGTCAGGCATCATGGCCAGGCGGGGGCCCTTCAGGGTGGTCGCACCGGGGGACAGGGCAGAGCTGGTGTATGTCGAGCTGCTGGGGGCGGAGGCGGCCAAGTTCACTGAGCTGGAGGTGGATAGCGGGGAGAGGGTGGTCAGCACCACGCCGCTCTCATCCAGGGAGCGCTTGTAGGGGACCGGGATGTCGCTCCGGAGGTCCTGAAACGCCAGGTAGGCCTGGGATATCTGTGGGCAGAAAAGGGTGGGCTGAGGACCGGCTCGCGCTAGCAGGCAAGGGGCAGGGACCGGGGGTGCCCGTTGCGGACTACTCATGGCTGGGCACCAGGCGAGGCTGACCCCGAACGCTGGGCCTGGCCTTGGAGCCCAGTGAGCCTGCCGGGCAGCTCTGTGGGGGTGGGGTGATCTAGAGCTCCCACCTGCCCTGCAGAAGGGACGGGGGGAGGGGCTGTGCGGGCCAGGCCCGTCCTCACCCAGACAAAGATGGAGAGGAAAGCAAAGGTGACGGCCGCCTTGGCGCTGGCCCTCCCCACGAGGAGCTCTCTGGGTGACGAATGGTGCCACTGGTTGGCCAGGAAGCAGAAACCCATGAACCAGATGACTGCCCAGGCCACTGCGAGAGAGCAGAGGCCGGGAGAGCCCACTCAGCTGGCTGCTGAGGAGCGCGGGCCGGGCCGGGGAGCCGGGGCAGGCGGGCGGGCGGTCCTGGGCTCACCTGCCAGGATGATGTCCAGGAGCCGGAAGGCCATCTTGAAGTGGGGGCTGACCATGTGGGTCTCGCGGGCGTCCAGGGCAAGGAAGACCAGGCAGCTGAGGAAGGCGAGGACGCCGGCGACCACGGCGAAGCTGCAGGCCGTGTTGTTGCCGTTGAGGACGCAGCGCAGCTGGGAAGAGTTGGTCTGGTTCTGGTAGCCGTCGGTCAGCAGGGAGGAGAAGATGACCAGGGAGAAGACCTGGGGACTCGAGGGACCGGGCCAGAGCTCAGCGCCCCCCAGGGACTATTCCTCCCTTAGGGGGACAGTCCTGCGGCACCCTGCCCACCACCCCTCCTCCCTGTCACACCGCAGAGCCCTCAGCCTCCACCCTTCATCCCCACTTCTCCCCCGCCTGCCTGGCCCCCTCCCTGCCTCAGCTCGGCCCCTCCGCCCACCGGGTCCCTCACACCTCGGGGCTCCCTGCTGCAGACCCCAGAGCCTCAGCCTGGACTCCCCACCCTTCTGTCCTCCTGGACCTAGCTCTCCCCACCCATCCCTGCCTTGTTCCACACTCCCCTGCCATCGGACCCAGGCGCCCAAGCTTAGCGGGACCATCTGAAATGATTCGCACACAGAAAAGTGCAGAGACATGGAACAAACCCCCGGCACCCGCTACGCAGAACAAGTACTAACGTTATTATGTTTTCGGTTTCAGGACTTTGTGTTTGTGTGTGGCACTGGGGATGGAACCTAGCGCCTTCACGCTGAGCGACATCCCCATCCCCTTTCGATTTTTATTTTGAGCTGGAGTCGTGCTAAGTTGCTAAATTGTTCAGTTTAGGGTTTTTTTGTTTTCTTTCTTTTTTGCGGGGGGGGGGGTACTGGGAATCAAACTCAGGACCTTGCACTTGTCAGGCAAGTGCTTGTGCTGCTGAGCTATATGCCTAGCCCCAACTGTCCAGTTTGAATACAATTTGAGGTCCTCCTGCCTCAGCCTCCCAGAGTGCTCAGATTACAGGTGTGCACCACCACACCTGGCTTGTTTTCTATTTTATTTACTTAGTTTTGTTTGCTTTTTTTTTTGACACAAAACTATGTAGTCCAACTATGTACTCCTATGTAGTTTCAATATGTCTTCCAGGCTCACTTTGAACTCACTGTGTAGCCCGGGCTGGCCTTGAATTCTTGGCACCCCTCCTGCCTCAGCCTCCCAAGTGTTGAGACTACAGGTGTGCGCCACCATGTCTGGCACAACCTCGCTTTTTAGATGATGGAACTGAGGCACAGAGGATAGGAATGGCTGCACTTGGCCATCTGGTTAGCAGCAGAGCCCGCATGTGAACCCCAGCCGTGGGGCTCCTCAGTCCACTCTGAACCCCTGGCTGTGCTTCTCATTCTGGACTAAACACCGCAAGGGGTGCGTTTGTATCTGTGCAACTCTGTAAAGAGTCGAAGCCCAGTTATTTGTCCAGATAGTCATGCTGCAGCGGGCCAGGGCTATGCCAGGCGCGGAAAGAGCCTCTGTGCTTGTGCGTGTGCGTGTGTGGTGGGGCTGGCCTAGGGGACTCCTAGACAACTCCACCGAAGTGCAGTGCTAAGGCAGGCAGTGGAGGCAGGAGGGGAGTATGGAGCCCGCGAGCCAGGGAGGAGCAGGAATGGGGCAGAGTCAAGGTTTGCTCTGGAACCAAAGTCCTGGGCTGGAGTTAGGAAGTAGTTGGGGCCCCAGAGACCTACACCGGAGCTGGGAGCCATGGAAAGTGAAATTTCTCGTTTGAATTTTGATGTGCAGAACGGCTCTGAGCTGAGGATGGCCTGGGTCACATGTGGTGGGCAGAGAAGTCCCTTGGGGTCATGAGGCAAGACGAGAGGCCGCAGACCTGAGCTCGGGTTGGCTTGGTGGCTAGAGCCCTGGGGAGTCCGGGAACATCCAGAATGTAAAATTGGACCTGGAGATTGATCAGATGTGACAGTGCTGGGGACAGCAGATTTTGGGGGAGGCCGAGGGAAAGAGCATGTCGAATATGTCCCCTTCTTCAGATTGGAGCTGCTGCAAGATAGGCTCCGTGGGGACGTTCCTGTCCCCAGCATCCAGCAGAGCCTGGGCTCACAAATACACGGGGAAGACTGACGCTGGCTTCTCGCTGCGTCCTGCAGAGGGGGACAGCGGAGGCCAAGGCCTGACTCCTGAACACTGTGGCTTCGGGCCTGTCCACCCTTCATAGCTTTATAACGATGATGGCGACAATGACAGTGAGGGCGAGGGGTCCCTCTTGGGCTTCTGTCTCCCTCAGTGCTGTTGCTGCCCTGGGAGGAGGCTGGAGTTGAGGACCGGGTCCCGCAGGACGCGCTTCGGCCGCTGGTCTGGGGCAAAGCCGGTCAAGGACAGAACACGCATCGATCACCGCCGAGCCAGCATCCATTCTACCTGCACCGGCCCCGCGCGGGCCGTGTTATTAATGCCTTTCTGTTTCACAGGTGATAAATCGAAGCCATTACGGTGGAGTGGAAAGAGCCAGACTTGGCCAACTCCGCCAGCTGTGTGGCCTTGAGCAAATCACTCAGCCCCTGGAGCCCCAGTTTCCCAGAGTGACTGTACTGCAATGAGGGGTGACGGGAGGGGGGGCCAGGCTCAGCCCTAGTGGGTGCTCAGGAAAACCATGGCTCTCAGGAGTCGCCTCCCAGGGGAAGCGTCCCTTCAAGGTTACCCAGGGGCAGGGTAGGATTGGAATCTGGCTCTCTTGACTTCTGGGGCCGGGACTGTTTGGCCACTGACCAGATGGGACGGAGGATGCCGCGGAGCCTGGGACGTGGGAGACATGGGCAGGGGGCGCCGTTGGCCAGGGACCCGCGTCCAGCCTCCTCCACGCCCTCTCGGCCTGTCCCCAGGGAGGGAGTGAAGACTCATCAGTTAAGGCAGCAGCTGGCAGGCGGCAGGGAGGACAGGAGCACCAGCTGCCCGGGGGCTCCCTACTGAGCAGCCAGGCCAGGGGGGACAGAGGAGAGGGCGGCGGGAGGAGGACAGAGGCGGCGGGTGAAGTCCGTGACCAGCGTGTCTGGTGCAGCTGGAGCACTGTCTTTCCCCGCAATCCGCACCCGTCCACACCAGCTGGGCCTCCTGCCCCCCGCCACCCGCTCTTCCTCCCGGTTTGAGGACAGGCGGGCGAGTCTGCCTCTGACTTTCTCCCGGCTGACGATGCCTTGGGCGAGCCTCAGTCTCCCCCTGGGTTGCGCAGGGGCAGGAATGTCCGTGCCATGGGGTTGTGGTGAGGAGTGAAGGAACTGCCGTCAGCAAGGGATCTGGCGCCAGGGGCTCAAGTCCCCATCACCCTAGGCACCCTCCACCGTCTCCACCCTTGCTCGCAAAGCCCTGATTTGTTCCGATAATAATTGCTATTTCAGGAAAGCTTCCCACCCGCCGGGCCCACACTCAGCAGTGTCTAGGCATTAACTTGTCTCCCCACCAGCCCGTCCCACTCCATCTGTGAGGAGGCTCAGAGAGGGTGAGGAACTTGCTCCAGGTCACACAGTCACAGGGTGACTGCGCAAGCTGAGGGACAGAACAAGGCACCCCTGAGAATGGGAGCTGCTGCCATGACAACTACGCCAGGACCGGCTCAGGACAGCCAGGGACTGTGCCTCACTAACGGGCAGTGCAGAGCTGGGCCACGGCTTGAAGCCAGGTTCAAAGTAGGGAGGGAATACTCTGGATTAGAAATCTTCAAGGACGCCCAGGGCTTGACACAGGGCACCCCATCTACTCCCATGAGCTGGATCAAATCCTGCTGTGTCCTTGGCCTGTTTCCAATCTGTCAAGGGCAAAGTGCAGGTGGTGGCCCATGACCACACCTTTGACCCCGAACAGTGATGTCCAGAGAGGAGCAGTGATTGGCCCAAGGTCACACAGTAGAGTTTGTGCTCAATGAAGATTTGACTCCCAACTGGGCGTGGTAGAACACACCTGTAGTCCCAGTACTTGGGGGGCCAAGACAGGATTGCTACGAGTTTGAGGCCAGCCTGGGCTACAAAATGATCAGCCTGGACTGCATAGTAGAATCTGTCTCATAAAAAAAAACAAAAAACAAAAAAAGGTTGGGCATGGTGATGCAACATGGCTGCAATCCCAGCACTAAGGACACTGAGGCAGGAGGAAAGTGATCCCATGTGTTCAAGGCCAGCCCGGGGGCCACACGAGTCAGTTCGAGGTCAGTGTGGACTATAAAGTGAGACTGTCTCAAGAACCCATCGTCAAGCCGGGCGTGGTGGCGCACCCCTGCAATCCCAGCACTCGGGAGGCTGAGGCAGGAGGATCACTTCTGAGTTCGAGACCAGCCTGGGCTACAAAGTGAGCTCAAGGCCAGCCTGAATTGCATAGCGAGACCCTGTCTCAAAAAGAGAAAAAAAAAAAAAAAAAGAATCCATCATCCAAAAGGGAGTTCAAGGGATCGCCTTTTAAAGGTTCTTTCTTGCAAGGAGTCAGTCCCGCTGACAGGGAGGGGTGTGGGGTGCAGCTGAGTGCTCAGTGGAAGGCAGCTTCCCTTATCGGCTCCCTTTGCTTCATTTTCCCCGCTCCCTGGCCCCCACTCCGGCCCTGGCTCTCAGAATTCTTCTGTCTGTCCCTGTCCCCCAGGGCCGCAGGCGGGCTGCAGAGGCCTCACCCCTGCGAGGATCCGGGTGATGCTCTTTGGCTTCCTCAGGAAGTGCACGACCTCGCTGCTGGCCATGTTCTGCAGGCTTGAGGGGAATCGCATGGCGGCCAGGATTTGGGGACACGAGTGCAGGGTGCCACCGTCTGCGTGCTGCGGGCCAACCCGGGTTCAGCTGCTGCAAGACAGCACAGACGGGGATGTCGGGGTCAGGGGTGCAGGCAGGAGTGCAGCGGGTCCCAAGAGTGGGCTGTGGGGTGGGGCACTGCCAGGACTCTGAGGAATCTGGGCTGGGAGGGGGTTTCTGGGGGCCCCAGGGGTGGCAGAGGGTGGGGGGATCCCGGACCGAAGAGAAGGGGCATGGAGAGGGCTGCCCATGTCCTCTGCCACAGGAGGCAGAAGGCCCAGTTTAAAGACCGCCTTCTCTCACAAGTGCCTGCCTAGCAAGCGCAAAGTCATGAGTTCAATCCCCAATACCGCAAAAAAAAAAAAAAAAAAGACAGCCTTCTCTCTATTGTGGGAACACAGGCAGGAGTTTCTGGGCGATCTGAACCAGAGGAATCCCTTTCAGGTTTGGGGGTGACCAGTATTCATATTCATATTATTATAATTGTTTATTATTATTTTCGAGACAGTGTCTCCATATGTAGCCCAGGCTGGCCTCCATCTCACGGTGATCCTCCTGCCTCAGCCTCCCGGGAGCTGGGATTACAGGCGTGCACCACCACACCAGGCTCGGCACCCACAGCAGAGAACCTAGGCACCCGGGGTATATTGTAGGCTGTCCTTGGGCCATGGGTTATTTCCCAGAGCGAGCCGGTCCCCTCGGAATTCAGCTCCATCTTTTATAAAAATGCAAGGCTGGTCAGGGATGGGGTCGGGGGGAACCTCAGAAACAAGCTGTCCCCACAGAATGAGGAGACCAAGTCCCTGGTGCTCGTGGAATGGGGGTGCTGGGGTTTGGGGGTGACACTGAGGAAGAAGGGCCACCCTTACTGTCGCGACCCGTGAGCGTCACCTGGAGGCCGGCTCTTCCTTTCACCTGCCCTCCCCTGCTGCTGGCGGGCGCCGCCTGAGCCTTCTTTTGGGCCCTCTTTCTCCCGCCTTTTCGCTCCTCCCTGGCTGATTGGCTGTACCTAAGTCCCGCCCCCTTTTTCTTGCCTACTCAGGAGCTGATTTGAGCGAGGGCGTGACCCAAACAGACGTTGGGCTGTTCGCCGTTGACTGGCTGCGCGTGGGAGCCCCGCCCAGTCCCTGGCCTCGCTCCTGCCCCGCCCTGTCCCTTTGAAGTCCTCCACAAGGAGACACTTATATAGCGCATGCGCCCCACAAAAGTCGCCGGCTGTGGGGATAAAAATACCTGCATACTACGCATGTGCAATTGAGAAAGGTTGTTGAAAGAAATGGACTCCACTGAAAGACCCAGGTCTTGCGCATGCGTTTTACTGCTGGTTGAAGCCGAACCTCGGAGCCCAGGACACCTTCCTGCACATGCGCAGAAGGCTCAATGACAGTCGCGCGTTGGTTAAGGTGAGGGAAGGGTGAGGGGATTGCATGGCCGGGGGAGGGCGGCCCTGCATCCCCTATGTAGCTTTCCGAGCATTTCCTATACGTCTAAGATTCACCTCACCGCCTAGACCCCGCAGAAACCAGTTGTACCACTACAGGGTCTCTGGATCTGCCGAACACCGTGACCTTTGACCCCATGCTAGGATCCAGGCCCAGGAACAGTGTGGGAGGGGATAGGCAAAAGCGGGTACGCGGCGGGCGGGCCAGGTTCTGCGCCCCGCCTAGGGCAGGGATAGTCCTGAAGGATGCCGCAAGAGGCGCGTTTCCTCCGGATGACTTTTGACCCTGCTCCTTTCCCTCTGTTTAGGTTCCGGGGAAAGGGTCTGGCCATGCTGCATGTGACCCGAGGGGTCTGGGGGTCCAGGGTCCGAGTATGCACGCCGTTGTCAGCGCTCCTCGGGACTCGCCGGGCGCTGTCGTCCCTGGTGGAAAAGATGGGGGTGTACCGCAAGATGTGGAACCCCACGGAGCCCCGCGACTGGGCCCAGCAGTACAGAGAGCGCTTCATTCCGTTCTCCAAGGAGCAGCTGCTCCGCCTCTTGATACAGGTACCGCCTGTCTCTGGCAGAGCTTGGGGACTACAATTCCCGGCAGGCCTCGGGGCGGCAGGGCCCTACATGACATGGATGGCCGTCTCGGAGCCTCCTGGGGGTTGTAGTTCCAGACCTCCACATCGGCCAGGTGGTTGTGATGAGATGGAATGCAGGGACAGGAGCTCAGAGATCAGATGTAGGAACGATTCACAGGGACTCGATTTTCCGGGGACTCGATTCTCCGGGCACTCGGCCTCTCTGGGGCAGAGGTTTACCCCTCTGTAAAATGGGCATAGTCATCACCCTCAATATTACTATTTCTACACCAAATAAAAATGTTACCTACAGTCACAAAACTGTGATCATAACTTATCACACTATTTGAGCTTTTACTCTGTAGCACTGTGCCAAGTGTTTGTCATGAATTTACTAACCAGAGCCACCCACTAAGGGAGGTACCACTATCATCCCTGTTTATAGATGCGGGAGGAAAAGGACTTGCCCAAGGCCATAGCATAGTGGCTCAGCCTTGCTTGACCTTAAAACTGTGTGTCCCCTACCTTTTTTGCCTTTGGGTGACTTATTCACCGTACCCTGATCTTGGTCCTCCGCCACAGTTTAAGCTGTTACCCCACCAGCCTCGTACCTGTCAATCCTGAGGATGGTCATTCACTCACTTAAAAGTTACGTATTGAATACTTGCTGTATGTACTAAATCTTGTGCTAAATTTCACACACACACACACACACACACACACACACACACTCACATAGATACAGATATTCTCCACAAACTCCAAGGATGAGACCCTCTGCAGCTAGAAGGAAAGTGAGTCTCCTTGAAGTGAAGATATTTAATGAGGCACCAATGTAGGCGACATGGTGAAGAGTTTCAATGTGTACACCTGGAATCAGGCCACAGACCTGTGGCCCTCAGGAGACTTCCTTGTGCCTCAGTTTCCCTCTCTGAAAAAAGGAGGTTATAATTCCATCAACCCCTTGCAGTCTCTGGATCATGATATCATGCAGATAGTCCCTGACACACCATAAACATTGTGCCAGTGTTGGTGAACTAGTGTCCAGCTTGGAACTTGGACATGTACCTCTTTAAACCCTTTATTAAGGTTTTATTTTGTTTGAGTCAGAGTTACACTATATAGTTCAGATTGGCCTTGAACTCACTGTGTAGCCCAGGCTGGCCTTGAACTCATGGTGATCCTCCTGCCTCAGCCTCCTAAGTGCTGAGATTAGAGGAATACACCACCAGGCCTGGCAGACCAACTGTTTTGTATTGGGCTGCCTCAGTTTCTTGGTTAGTAAAATTGCTCAAGCCTCTCCCCTCAATCCCAAATAAAACAAATTTTAAAAAGCCTTGAGTTCTGACCATGCATTTGGGCTGGGGAGAAAAGAATTCCTCCCATGGGGAGGGAAAAGAGGCCTAAAGAGAATTTGCTTCCTGAGGTGACAGGAATTCCACTCCAGTCCAGCAGAGAAGGCAGCTCTGGAGGAGTTCTCGGCCCACGTGGACTTCTGCACCCTGTTCCACTACCACCATATCCTGGCCCGGCTGCAGGTGAGGTCCGCCCCTCCAGCCCTGTCCCACTTGTTTGCCCAGCCATCATCCATCCATTGATCCATTCATCGATTCATTCATCGATCCATTGATCCATCCATCCACCCATCATCCATCCATCTATCCATCCATCATCCATCCATCCATCCATCCTCCATCCATCTTCCATCCATCCATCCATCCACCCATCCTCCATCTATCTTCCATCCGTCCATCTACCCTCTATCCATCTATCCTCCATCCATCCATCCTCCATCCATCCACCCATCCTCCATCTATCCATCCATCCATCTATCCATCCATCCTCCATCCATCTTCCATCCATCCATCCTCCATCCATCTATCCTCCATCCATCCATCCATCCTCCATCCATCCTCCATCCATCTATCATCTATCCATCCATCCATCCATCCTGCATCCATCCTCCATCCATCCATCTATCCATCCATCCCTCTCTCCAGCACATAGTCACTGGCACCTTCTTGGGTCCCTGGGGACTCAGCAGTGGACAGGACAGAGGCAGCCATCCCCTCATGGAGCCGACATTCCAGATGGGGGTGGCAGAGATGAAGTGGGAATAGTGTAGGATGCCTGGGAGGGGAGCACCATGAAGAACAGCAAAGCAGAGCAGTGAGAGAAAGCGGGAGGAGACGGGCGGGCTGGTAGTTTTGTTTTGGTTTTCTGAGACAAGGTCTCACTATGTAGTCCAGGCTGACCTTGAACTCACTTTGGAGCCCAGGCTGGCCCCAAACTTGCAGCAGTCTTTCTGCCTCAGCCTCCCGAGTGCTGGGATGACAGACCTCCTGGTGGGGGCCTGTTTTAGCTGGAGTGGTCAGGGAAGGGGTCCCTGAGAAGGTGACCGGCAGTTTGAGACCTGAGTGAAGAGAGGGACTGAGGCTGGTGGCTGGGTGGGGGAGGGAGTGCCAGGCAGAGGGCGGATGGGAGAGTGGGTGGAAAGGAGGGCTGCCATGGGGGCAAATGGTCCTGGGCGCAGTGAGGACTTTGCTTTGAGCTCGAGCGAGCCGGGTGCCACAGGAGGGCCATGATCAGAGGGAAGATGCAGCCGCCCTAGGAGCTAACAGGGGCCCTCTGGCTGCCCTGCAGGAAGCAGACTGTCGGAGGCCCAGAGCTCTATTACAGAACTTAGCATACTTGTCCAGCGAGAGATAATGGAAGCTCCAGAGGATGAGAGTAATAGCCTGGCCATGGGGACAAGGGCTGAGGGGGAGAAGGCATCATTAGTCCCTATGGGTGGGGCGGCAGGGGAAAGGCCAGCGGGAGCCTCCCAAGGATGCGGCTGCCCTTGACAGATGCGGAGGGGAGATGCAGGGGGAGGCAGGTCTGCAGGGAGCAGTGAGAGCTCAGCTTCGTCTTTTTGTTGTTTGTTCTTTTTTTTTGTTCTTGTATTTTATTTTATTTTATTTTATTTTATTTTATTTTATTTTATTTTATTTTATTTTGTCTTTCTGAGACAAGGTCTCGCTATGCAGTTCAGCCTGGCCTTGAGCTCACTTTGTAGCCCAGGCTGGCCTCAAACTCACAACGATCCTCCTTCCTCAGCCTTCCGGGTGCTGGGATTACAGGTGTGCGCCACCATACCCAGTCTTGGTTTTGTTTTTTGAGACAAAGACTCACTATGTAGCCCAGGCTGGCCTCAAACTTGAGGTGATCCTCCTGCCTCAGCTTCCCTAGTGCAGAGATTATAGGAGGGTGCCTCCATGCCCAGCTGTTGGATTTAGGAATTTGAGCTGCCCGTTGGGCAGCCAGGTAGAGAGATGCCTGGAACATGTGGGCCCAGAGGTGAGAGGAGAGACATAGGCTGAGAAAGTACTGGAAGGACCTCGATGATACTGAAAGGGACCAATCAAAGGAATTAGTGTTGTCTTACCTTGGCTACTATAGCGTAGATACTATAAACTGAGTAGCTTTTTTTTTTTTTTTTTTTTTAAATTTTTTTTTTTCTGAGTAGCTTTAATGACCAAATATTTAAACTGGACATGGTATTGCATGGCTATAACCCCAGCACTCAGGAGGCTGAGGCAGGAGGATCACTGCAAGTTAAAGCCAGCGTGAGCTACATAGTGAGTTCAAGGCCAACTTATGCTACATAGTAAGATCCTGTGTGTGTGTGTGTGGAGAGAGAGAGAGAGAGAGAGAGAGAGAGGGAGAGAGGATGAGAGGATATGGCTGAATTGTAGCTGAATACACCCAGTTGGCTAAGGCAGGGGCTTGTGTGCCAGGTGCTGGGGCTGGTGGAGGTGGCAGACGTGGCGAGGTCTGCTGAAGCAGTCCTGGTTCAAGTGACAGGGAAAGCTTTCGTGTTCCCTAGCAGGCAGCAACCTTGGCAGCGACCTCTCTCTGATCCTGCTTTCTCCTCTGTATTCACCCAGTGAATTCACTGCATAAATATTTATTGGGCACCCACTGTGTGCCCTGAATGGCCCAGGCCCCAGGGTTCAGGCACAAGCTGACAGCTGTGTGCCTCCCGACCCGGCCCACAGGAGACAGGAGAGAAGCCTGGTGGGGGAGGGGGTCGTGTCAACCGGTAACCGATGCAGGGCGGGGACCCTACTCACTTCCTGGGCCAGGGGCTCAGAACAGTAGAGACTGACTTGGTTTAGGAGGCGGGAAGTCTGAAGCTTGGGTGTCGGCAGGGTGGGCTTCTTCTGCTGGCTGGGAGGGAGGATTGTAGTATTCTGTCCTCTCTCAGCTGGTGGTGGCCATGGCCCAGGTGGCACTATCACTGGTTGAGGCCTCATTCTCACCCTGCCAGCTCCACTTGCCCTTCTTCTTTGATCTCTGTCTCTGTCTTGTTTTTTTTTTTTTTTTTTTTTTTTGTTTGTTTGTTTGTTTTGAGACAATGTCTGGTTGTGTAGCCCAGGCTGACCTTGAAGTTCCTGAGATCCTCTTGCCTCAGCCTCCTGGGTGCTGAGATTAGAGGTGTGCGCCACCATGCGTGGGCTCTTTTCTGTCTCTTAAAATAAGGCCTTTCTCCATTTTGAGCTCATCTCATCCTTACCTTATTCCCCTGCAAAGAACCTATTTCCAAATGAGGTTATATTTTGAGATTCTGAGGGGATGAAGTTTTGTTTGTTTGTGGCACTAAAGACTGAACTTGGCCTTTGCACTGAGCTACATCCCTAACCTTTTTAAATTTTTCTTTTGAGACAGGGTTTTTCGAAGTCACTAAATTGTCCAGGCTGGGCTCAACTTGTGACCCTCCTGCCTCAGCCTCCTCCAGTGCTAGGATTATTGGCATGCACTGCTGAACTCAGAAGGGGATATGAATTTTTTAAAAAAAATGTAAACAGTTTTTTCCTTGGGGGAGGGACATGAAATTTTAGGAGATATTTTTCAACCTACTCTGTCCAGTTAAATTTGAATTTCATAAAAACTGAAGAACTATTTTAGTGCAAGCCTGTCTTATGAAATACAGTCTTCAAATGTTGCATAGAACATACAACCCCCCAAAATTTATATGTGTGTGTATTAAAAACCTTGGTTTGTTTTGTTTTTTCTTTTTTTAAATATTTGGGATGGGATATTGCTATATTATTCAGGCTGCCCTCAAACTTGTGATCCTTTTGCCTCAGCTTCCCAAATCCTGGGATTATAGGCATGGACCACCACACTGGCATTTACATTTACATTCTATATGGGATATGTATTCTAGATAAGGTATAAATAAATATATATATAATGTATTTTCTTTTTTAAAAAAAATTGACAACTGTAATTTAGAGGAGAAAGTGAGGGAGGGGTGTTGTACATTTTATTTATTTATTTATTGAGACAGGGTCTCACTACATAGACCCTGGCCTGGAACTCACTGTGTAGCCCAGGCTGGCCTTGAACTCACAGCAATCCTCCTGCCTCAGCCTCCCAAGTGCTGGGATTACAGGCAAGTGCTAGCATGCCTGGCTGTTGTGCAGTTTCGCATGAGGTAGTCCGGAGAGGCCGACTGAGGAGGTGACATTTAAGCGGAGCCCTGATGGAGGGGAGCCAGCCGAGCACGCATCTGAGGGAGCAGTAGGTGCAAAGGCCCTGAGGCAGGAGTGTGTGCGGTTTTGGAGGATGAGAAAGGAGGTCTGAGGGGCTCTATTGCCCCATGGAGAGAGTGCTAGAGGAGAGGGCGGAGTGGAGCTGGGGCTACACCCTGCAGTGTCTTGTGTGGAGCAGTGAGGACTTTTGACTGTGAGCTGGGAACAGCGGCAAAACCTTGCTACCGCAAATGTGAACAGGCGCCCTCTGGCGGGCGCTTGGAGGCTGGTAAGCAGGGATCGGAGCCCAGGGGCCAGGCCTCAGCCGTCTGGGTGAAGGACAGGTACAGAGGGCCTGAGTGAAGGCACCGCTGTGCAAGGAGAACCGAGCTGACTTGGTGTCTGCACACAGCCTATGTGCCCAAGCCAGGGGCCAGCAGTGGTTGGATCCTGGGTCGTGTCTTGTTTTGTTTTTGAGACAGAGCCTCGCTATGCCATCTAGGATAGCCTTGCACTCACTGTACAGCCCAGGCTGGCCTCGAACTCACAGCGATCCTCCTGCCTCAGCCTCCCAAGTGCTGGGATTACAGGTGTGCGCCGCCACACTCAGCTGATCCTGGATGCCCCTAGTGGCAGTTTGGTTGGTTGTGTGAACATTGAAGGATTTGCTGGGGGACCCCAGGCTCTGGGTCTGAGGTCCTGGAGGAGCAAGTTTGGGGTGGAAGCAGGACCCGGCCTGGGGTGGCATCGGGAGCCCGGGGCATCTCAGGGGAGTGTGTGGTGGGATCGAGCTGGGCTGTCAGGCCTGGGCACAGAAGCCTGGGCAGTCCTCGCCCGGCAGGTGGTGTCTGAGCCCCTGAGGCTGCTTGAGGAGAAGGAAGGGGGTGACAGTTGCCAGGAGGACCCAGTTCCATCCTTCAGTCTTTCAGCAGCTGCTGAGAGGGCCCGGTGGCAGGTAGGGACGCTGAGGATGGAGTGCAGGCTGCCCCTGCCCGCAGGGGTCGGTGCGGAGGCGGGGAGACCTGAGGCTGAGTCCTGGGTGCTGGGTGCAGACGGAGGGCTCGGGACACGGTGGTGGGCGGATGCAGGACACAGTGACCTTGGCTTCTGTGTGTAGATTAGAAAAAAGGGGCCCTTTGTGCAGGACACACCCTGCGCAGCCGTCCTCAGCCTGCGGGGCAGAGAGACACTTTGAGAGGGACTTGGACCCGCAGTGTCGGAGGCGAGAGAGTCTGCAGTGAAGGGAAGCAGGTAGGGAGAGTGCCGGCCACAGCGTGTGCCAAGTCCCTGTGGTTGGAGGAATAAAGCCAGAGAGGCTGGTGTGCAGCCATCAAGGGAGATTGTGGCCTCCCAGGGGGCCTTCCAGGAGTCAGGTCCTGGTTCCCAGAGCAGCAGGGACCTTGAAAGAGTCTTTCTGGGTTTTTTTTTTTTTGTTTTGTTTTCTTGATACACTGTCTCACTATGTAATTCAGGCTGGTCTTGAACTCACTATGTAGTCCAGGCCTCCTGGAGATCCTCCTGCCTCAGCCTCCTAAATGCTAGCATTAGAAGGGTGTGCTACAACACATGCCAGGCCTGAAAGGGTCCTGACGTGGAATTCCAGCTTTACTTCCTGATCCTATCTGTGCCTTGGTTCCCACGTCTGTCAATGAAGATCACCATGGTAGCACCGTTGTGCTTTGGGAGTGTCCACATGTTACTGTCCTGACCGCTGCCAAGCTCTTCCTGGCCACTGCGGGGGGCCTAGGGTAAGGGGACACTGGGAGGGGCCAGCGGAGGGAGGCGGTAAGTGGCAGGGCAGGCAGGTGTCTGCTCGGAGGCGGAGTGGGCAGGATTCCTGGCTTGCGGGAGGGGCAGCAGGGTGGGTTCCCTCTGTGTGGGTTGAGGGGTTGGTTTGGAGATGGATGACCTCCTGAGCCTTTGGCCTTGTGGGAAGGTACATGTCATCTGGAGGCTCATTCAGTCCAGAAGCCCTGCCAGGCACCTAGAAGTGCACGTTCTTTGTTCCTTCAGCAGGGTTTTTTCAGTTGGGGGAGAGGGTGGGTTTGTGAGAGGGCTTGAAGGTTGGAGAAAGATTTGGTATTTTACTCAGGATGCAGTGGGAAGCCATCAGGGTGTGGGGTGTGAGGTGTGGGGTGCAGAGTTGGTTTATAATCAAGTGCTTTTTAAATTTTGTTTTGTTTAGGTTTTTTGTTGTTTTTTTTCCCAGTACCGTGAATTGAACTCACGACCTTGAGCTTGCCCGGCAGGCGCTGTGCCGCTGAGCTAAATCCCCAGCCCCTTGTTTTGGTTTTTGAAAGATAGTGTGTTGATATGTAGCCCAGGCTGCCTCAAACTCTTGGCTGTATCCTCCTGCTTCAGCCTCCAAGTGCTGGTATCACAGGCATGCACCACCACACCTTGTGGGTTTTTTGGTTTCTTTTTGTCTTTTTGAGACAGGGTCTTGCTATGCAGTTCAGGCTGGCCTTGAGCTCACTTTGTAGCCCAGGCTGGCCTCAAACTCACAACGATCCTCCTGCCTCAGCCTCCTGAGTGCTGGGATTACAGGCGTGAGCCATCAAGCCTGGCTGTGTTTTGTTTTTGGCAGGGTCTCATTATGTAGTCTAGGTTGGCCTTGAACTGTGGATCCTCCTGCTCCCAAGGTGGCTGATTTTTTGTTGTTGTTGGTACTGGGAATCGAACTCACAACCTTGTGCTTGCTAGGCAGGTACTGTGCTGCTGAGCCACACTTCTGGCCTCCAAGGTGGTTGTTTAGGTGAGAGATGAAGATGGCTTTGGAGAGTAAGGTGGATCCCAGAGACATTCAGGTGCGCAGTGCAGTGGTGCAGACCTGTGATCCCAGCACTCTGGGAGGCTAAGGCAGGCGGATCACAAGTTTGAGCCCAGCCTAGAGAAACTTAGCAAGAGCTTGTCACAAGAAAGATTTTAATAATCCTAGCACTCAGGAGGCTGAGGCAGGAGGATCGTTGTGAGTTTGAGACCAGCCTGGGCTACAAAGTGAGCCCAAGGCCAGCCTGAACTGCATAGCGAGACCCTGTCTCAAAAAGATTAAAAAAAAAAAAAAAAGAAAGATTTTAAAAGGGGATGAGGATGTAGCTCAGTGGGAAGGCCCTGGGTATTAAGAGAGAGAGAGACAGACAGACAGACAGAGACAGAGAGACAGAGACAGACAGAGAGACAGACAGAGAGACAGAGAGACAGAGGGAGTGAAAGTCTCTCTGGCCCTGTTTAGATACAGATCTCATTAGACCACCACCTGGAACTGTCAAAGAGATCATTAAACATAAGAATTTGGTGTAGCTTGGTGCTGTGGCACGTGCCTGTAATCCCAGAACTCAGGAGGCTGAGGCAGGAGAATCTCTGTGAGTTTAAGGCCAACCTGAGCTACATAGTAATTTCAGATCCAGCCTGGAATACACAGTGAGACTCTGTCTCAAAAACCCACAAAACAAAAGAAAAACAATAACAAGATGGGTTGGTCTGTTTGCATAGCCAAGACAGGCTTAGGCTGGGTCAGGAAGAGGGAGTCTCTCAACAGTCTGAAGGGTTTATTTACTTATTGTGGTACTGGGCTTAGACCCAGGTGTACTGTGCCACTATGCTAAGGCACTGTTCCTTTTTAAATTTTATTTTGATACAGAGTCTGGCTAGGTTGTGCTGACTGGCCTAGAACTTGTGATTCTCCTGCCTCAGCATCCTGAATAGCAGGGATTATAGGCATGGACCACTGTACCCTGCTCTGAAAGGTTTAAGTGTCCAAACATCCTAAGATGTGGAAAATTAAAACAAGGTTTTTAATTTTTTGTTTGAGACAGGGTCTTGCTATGTGGTTCCAGCTGGCCTTGAACTCACTATGTATACCAGGCTGGCTTTGAACTTGTGGCGGCCATCCTGCCTCAGCTTCCCAAATGCCAGGACTGCAGGTGTGTGCAGCCATAAGCGGCTTTAACAACATTTGTAATTTAGTGGGCCTGAGGGTTCTAAACTGGCAGAACAGGCAAGAGCAGAGCTCGGAGGGAGCAATGGCACTTTTGCTTCCACCCGTGGAGGAGCCCGGAGTCCTCTGCCTGGCCAGATTTGCCTTCCGGCTGGGCAGCTGTGTCCTAGGAGGAGGGGGCGGAGCCCTCGCTGCGCAACTGCGTCAGGGCGCTCGGGAAAGCACACAGTGCGCGCGCTGTGACCGCGCCCCGTCTCTCCGCAGGCGCTGTATGACCCCATCAACCCTGACAGGGAGACCCTCGACCAGCCCTCACTCACGGAACCCCAGCGTCTGATCAACGAGCAGGAGGTGCTGCGGGCCCTGGAACCGCTACTGGCCCAGGCCAACTTCTCCCCACTGTCAGAGGATGCCCTGGCCTACGCGCTGGTGGTCCACCACCCTCAGGATGAGGTCCAGGTACCTGGCTTCCGGGGCAAGCTGAGCTCCTGAGGTGTGTCCTAAATACATGGGTCCGGGGCACAATAGAATTCAAGAAGAGGGCTTTCCTCTCGGTCACTTCCGGGCCGTGTATCAAAAGATTATCAAACCAGGAGGCTGAGGCAGGAGGACCACAAATTTGAACCCAGCCTGGGGAATTTAGCTACTTACTGATTTACCTGTTGTTAAAACAAACGAACAAATAAATAAAAAAAATTTTAATAGGGCTAAGCATGTAGCTCAGTGTGAAAGCCCTGGGTGAATCCTTAATATGGAAAAAACTGAAAGAAAAAAAAGGAAAAGAAAAAGAAAAAGCGTCTGCTGATATAGATCTTCTTAGAACTATAGACTTTATTGCCACTTTCCAGAAAACTATAATAATAAATGATACAAAACTTCGTCTTTGCTAGCTGTGGTGGTGCACACCTATAATCTCACAATTTGGTAGGCCGAGGCAGGAGGATCACTGAGAGTTGGAGACCAGCCTGGGGTACATAGTGAGTTCCAGACTAGCATGGAAGTGTCTCAAAAACAAAACAAGTGAGAGTGAGAGTGTCTCAAAAACAAAACAAAACAAAACCCTTCATAAAGATAACAAAATAATAAAAATACTAAAATCTCCCTAAGTTCCATATTTTAGTAATTTTTTGGTGAGGAGGGGCACAGAGGATTGAACCCAGGGCCTTTGCACTGAGCCACATCCCCAATTCTTTTTGTATTTTTAATTTTGGGGCAGATGCTCACTAAATCAGTCACTTAATTGCCTCAGCTGGGTTTGAACTCCTGATCCTCCTCCCTCAGCCTTCCAGAGTGCTAGGATTATAGGTGTTCACCATCATGCCCGGCTCAGTTATCTCTGAACCTGGGACCTGATTTAAAAGTGATGGTGAGGCCTCATCTAATTGGCAATGTATTTTGTAGTTGCTTCATAAAAGATTTCTTTTTTTTTTTGAGACAGGATCTCTCTATATAGCTCAGGCTGGCTGTGAACTTACTATGTAGCTCAGGCTGGGCTTGAGCTCCTCCTGCATCAGCCTCCTGAGTGCTGGGATTATACGCGTACACCACCATGCCCAACAAGTAGGGTATTTTAAAGTCGGTGGCATTTTAGAGAGCAGGAGATACAGTGTGTTAGTCACTTTCCCAGCACTGGGTTACAATACCTGACACCTGCAAGTTGTAGGAAGAGAGGGTTATTTTGGTTCATGGTTTCAGAGGGTATAGTCTACAGTAGGCTCAAAGGCAGGAAGAACACAGCAGGAGGGCCCGGCGGAGGGGGCTGCTCAGGAAGCCAGGATGTGGAGAGAGCAGAGAGGAGCCAGGGAAGAAGTACACCCCCAGTGACCCACTTCCGATCCAGACCCCACCGCCTAACTCCTCACACCACTTCAGCCACGCACTTTTAAGTGGGTCAGTCCACTGATGGATACAGTGCCCCATGCTCCCGTCACCTCAGCTTGTGTTCCGCTGCCTCTGCTTTCTTCATTCCCCTCGGCAGGTGACAGTCAATCTGGATCAGTATATCTACATGCAGTTCTGGGCCCTGGGCCAGCGAGTGGGCCAGATGCCTCGTATGTCCAGCGTGGGCTCCAAGCGTGGCTTCTTCACCAAGAAGCTCCCTGCAGAGAGGTGAGGGCGCCCTCGTTCCCCAGCTGCAGCAAGAGGGAGGCAGGTTAGAGTGGCGAGGGGACCGGCAGGTCAGTGTGGAGGCTGGGGGGCTGTTGGGATGGGGGAAAAACAGAGTCGCCCGATGCTGCCTCTCCTCCCGGAGGAGGAGAGAGGGCAGGGCCCGTGCTGGTAAACAGCCGTGTCCAGTAATGGGGGCCTGAGAAGTCGCCCTGAGACACACGTGTGGCCGTGGAACCTGGCGCAGGCCCCTCGCAGGCCACCCCAGCCCTGTCCCCTTGCCCCCGGCAGGAGGTACTTCAAGCGGGTGGTGCTGGCGGCACGGACCAAGCGGGGCCACCTGGTGCTGAAGAGCTTCAAGGACACGCCGCTGGAGGGCCTGGAGCAGCTGCTGCCCGAGCTCAAGGTGCGCACACCCACGCTGCAGCGCGCCGCGCTCAACCTCACGCTGGCGGTGTCCGGCCTGGTGTTCTTCGTCAACGTGGGCATGGTGGTGCTGTCTGACCTCAAGGTGGCCACGTCCCTGCTGCTGCTGCTCTTCGCCATCTTCATGGGCCTGCGGGCCTCCAAGGTAACCACCTGCCCATGGCCTGGGCTCCGGGGCAGGTGGCAGTTGGGAGGCACCTGCTTTTATTAATATTCCTTTAGGTTATTATTATTATCATTAATGTTTTGGTGGTGCTGGGAGTGGAACCCGGGGCCTTTCCCCTGAGCAACATATCGAGCCCTTTTTATTAGTTATTTTGAGGCTAGGTCTCACTAAGTCACTAAATTGCCCAGGCTAGGCTTGAACTTGTGATCCTCCTGCCTCAGCCTCCCAGAGTGCTGGGATTACAGGGTATGCTACTACATCCTGCCACTTGTATTTCATTTCATGCATTATTCTTGCTGCCTTCCTGCCTTTCCTCCCTATCTTATGTGTCCACCACACCATCAGCAGGTTTCTTAATGGCTCTGTGCCTCAGTTTCCTCACCTGGAAAATGGGAATAACAGTGAGACCTGCCATGGAGGGTGGGTTGCTGTGAGGGGTAGAGGTATGGGTGTCATCTTTGTACTGTCCCAGTGCCCCTCGGGGCTCACAGCTCCTCCAAGAGTAGCTGCTTTGGGGAGTGTTTCATGCACAGAGAGGGAGGTGTGTGATCCCTGCAGCCCTGGATTTAAATCTGACTAACATCTTGGAGCCGTGTGATCTATTCTTTTGATTTTTTGAGACAGGGTTTCCCTCTGTAGCCCTGGCTGGCCTCGAACTTGCGGGGATGCTCCTGCCTCAGCCTCCTGAGTGCTGGGGTTACGGGTGTGTGCCACCACTCCTGGCTGAGCTGTGCGATCTAAGTTGCTTCAGCTTTCTGCAGTGGGGGTGAAAGGACCTAACTCGAAGGGTAGCGGAGGGGGGGGGATTAGAGGCGTTGATCTGCACCCAGGACTGAGAGCAGGGCCTGGCGCAGTCTCAGAAGCATCATCTGAGTGTTAGCTATTAGGATGATGATTATTATTGCTGATTGGACTATTTGTTTCCCGAGTTTCCATCCCAGCCGGGCGTCATTATCAAGGTTTATAAATGCACCTCCTGGGCTCCAGCCCAAATGAACTAGATTGGAAAACTTTGGGACTGGCATCCAGGGAATCGTTTTTTACCAGGCGCCCTTCCTGACTCCACTCCACGTGAGTGGAGGCTCGCCTGGTACGGTTGCTCAGGTTGTTCACCGTCTCAGGATTCATGGAGGGGTGAGGGGTGCCAGCAGTGTAGCACTGCTGTCTTGAGGCTGAACTGGCCCGGCGGGGCTGCTGCGCGCTGACTCTCGCGGGCTTGGCACCGGCCCCAGGAGTGAGGAGCGCCTGAGGCTGCTGCCGTACCCCATTGGTCACTTGCTGGCTCATTGGTTTCCAAGCTGTTTGGAGCCCTCCTGACAGGCGACAGGCACTGGGGAGGGCGGGTCATAAATCCCGCAGATAATGGCCAGGCTTCGCAGGCCAGCAGGAAGTCGAGGGGGGCACTTCCTGCTCAGGACCAGCGCCAAGGCAAGAAAGGGGTGCAGCGGGAGGGTGAGGTCCAGATGGCCCCAGGCTTTGTCCTCAGGGGGACAGGGAGCCAGGAGGGACCACAGTGTCCACGGAGAACAGAGGGTGGTGGGGAGAGAATAGGCGAGGGGCCAGCAAGGAGTACCCAGCATGCTGGGGAGGGGACGCTGAGCCCCAGCCCAGAGTTGCCCATCTGCTCCATCCCTCAGTGACCCTGGGGGAGCTCCAGAGCCTTTGAGGCTGATGAGCCCTGTTTAAAACCCACTGTAGCTGGGCATGGTGGCCCACGCCTGTAATCCCAGCACTCTGGAGGCTGAGGCAGGAGGATCTTTGTGAGTTCGAGACCAGCCTGAGATACAAAGTGAGCTCAAGGCCAGCCTGAACTGCATAGCCAGACCCTGCCTCAAAAAGACAAAAAATCAATCAATCAATCAATCAATAAAAAATAAATAAATAAAACCCACTGTGGCTGGATGTGGCAGCGCACGCCTATCATCCCAGCACTCTGGGAGGCTGAGGCAGGAGGACTGCAAACTTGAGTCCAGCCTGGGCAGATTAGCCACCTAGCAAGACCTTATCTCAAAATAAAAATAAAAGAAGGGCCAGGGATGTAGCTCAGGGTGAAGGCCTTGGATTCAATCCCCAGGACCCTAGATGCATGCGCACACACACACACATACAGGGAACTGAGTGGCTTTGTGAGCTTTCCCCATGCCCTGGCTGGGCTGCAGCCCTCAGAGCTTCTGACGCGTGCTCCCCGCGGGGAGCTCCCCGGCACCCGTGGTTTCCACTGTCCAGTTCTGCGCGGTCTCAGTGCACGGTGGGGGGCGCCGTGCCACCTGGAGCAGGGCGGGGAGAGCCCCGCATCGCCCACACCTGTTCCTTCCGGTCGGGGTTCCCCATGTGTGGGTGGTCTGGCCTCCGCTGGGTCCCCCACACACAGAGCCACCCTGCCCCTCCCCCGCACACTCTCCTGCAGAGAGAGAGGGTCACACACAGTGGAGGTTGCAGCGGGGACGCAGTTGTCCCGCTGTGGACAAGGAGCGCAAGGACACGTGTCCATCTGCGGGGAGAGGCGCACAGCGGGGGCAGTGACTGTTCTCCAAGTGCAGCTGGGGGACTTGGCGCGTTCCGGGCGAGGAGGCTGCGCTCCGCGACGGGGCTTACGCAGGGTAGCGGGTGTGGAGGGGAGTGCCTCTGGTGCCCAGGGCGGGCTGTGAGCAGAGGAGGGGCGGGGTGGCCCTGGAACCTCGTGGGAATGGGCCACCCAGCCCGCCCCATGTGCAGCCCAGGCAGGACCCCGGGGACTGGGGATATGCTGGCGGTGTGGCAGGGGTGAGAGCTGGGACCGCCCCGGTGGCAGGTGGGCACCGCTTATAAAAGGGTGACCGTTGGCTCCATCTGTGTGCCATGAGCGGCTGATACACTGCTTTCATCCAGGAGAATCTAGCTCCATGGCGCGGCAGCCTCGGACACAGAAGCTAAAGTGTTTTTCCTCCCCGACGGGCCCTAAGGCTGTGCTCCTGCGCCCCCGCTCACCGTGGAGAGGGCGAGGGGTTCCAATGTAGGGACGCAGGCTGGAGGTGCTGGGCTGGCAGGGGATGGTGCTTCTGCGCACAGCCGTGTCCCTGTGGTTGGTACTGTGCGGCGTCTCAGTGATTTGTGGGGTCATCTCCGGCCTTGCTGGGAGATGTGTCATGCCCCAAGGCCGCCCGACTGGGGGGCCTGCCCTGTCGCGGATGTCCAGGTGCCCCGTCCTCCGGGGCTGACTTCCTGAGCCCTGCTAGCATCACTCTCACCACGCCAGCCTTGGTCTTAGCTCAGGGCTGGCAGCTGGGGGTGTCTTGTTGCCAGCTGCTGGAGCAGAGGTCAGGGGTGGGCTCGCAATTCCCCTCCCAAGGTACTCCAAGTATGGGGGAAGGGGTGCAGGCGAGGGTCCAAGGGAGGGGGAAGAGTGGCTGATGGACACCTGAGCCCCAGGCCTCCTCTCCCCAATATTTAATTCAATTAAATTCATTAATTAATTAATTTGTTTTTGGTACTGGGGATGGAACTCAGGACCTTGCATTTGCCAGGCAGGCGCCTGTGCTGCTTAGCTATACCTCCAGCCCTTATTTATTTTTTTTAAAGAGAAAAAACCCCCCAAAATTTCAAAACAAGATAATAGGAGGGTAACAATAGTTAATACGTTTTGTATTGTCATCTTTTTAAATTAGTTACTCAGAGCACAAGATATCAGCATTTAAAAGTTCACCCAACTGCAGAAATAGTGCGATGAACTCTTGGGTACCTGGCATCCGGCTTCCACAGTTAGTCAATCCGATTTCCTCTGCACCCAGTCCCTCCTCCCCTGGGTCCTTCTGAATGAATCTGAGCACGAACCTGGATATAGGGATGTAAATGTCCCTCTTAGACTAGGGCTTCTTATTGTAACACGAGCTTCCAAGGCTAAAATTCTTATTGTTTGGAAATTGTTCAGAAAACCCACTTAAATATAGCCCAGAAGAGCAAACCAGCGCTGCAATTGGTAAAAACTAGTCTTCAAGCTGGGCATGGTGGTGCGCACCTGTCCTCCCAGGTACACCGGAGGCTGAGGCAGGAGAATTGCAAGTTTCAACCCAGCCTGAGGAATTTAACCACTTAGTGAGATTCTGTTTCAAAATAAAGTTCAGTGGGCTGGGGTGCAGCTCAGTGGTTGAAAGCATGCCTAGCATGTGCCAGGCCTTGAGTTTAATCCCTAGTATTGCAAAAATAGAACAAAAATCCCGGGGATTGTCCCACCCGCCAGGCGTCGGGTGGGGGCCGGGAGCCGGGAGATCCCGGGCGAGGGACCATGCTTGAAAATCACAGTTCTGCACCCCAGCAGAACCCGAGCTGAAGAGGTCTGGACCCTAGCTGAAGAGGTCTGGGTGGGGTGGGGACCCGTCGGACTCACCCGCGCCCCCCACCCCTCCCGGGCTGTCCCCGCAGATGTTCGGGCAGCGGCGCAGCGCGCAGGCGCTGGAGCTGGCACACATGCTGTACTTCCGCAGTACGTCCAATAACTCGGAGCTGCTCAGCGCACTGGCCCTCCGCGCGCAGGACGAGCACGCCAAGGAGGCGCTGCTGGCGCACAGCTTTCTGGCCCAACGCCCAGGCGGCGTGCAAAGCTCGCCCGAAGGTGCGCCAGCCCCGCCCCGGACCACGCCCACTCTAAAGTTGTGCCCTGCCCCTGCCCAAGTCCAGGACCAGCCCAAAGGCCGCGCCCACCTCCGGCCACGCCCCTTCCCGCTCCCTCTGGGGCCGTGCCAGTCTCCCACTGTGAACCCCATCCGGCTTGGGCCCTGTGCGCCCTTGGCCTCTCGGAGGGTCGTGGGTCGCCGGCCCCTCTCCCCGCATTGCTTGTCATTCGAGAGCCCATACTCTCCCCAAGAGACCTTATCCCTCCCTCTGAGCCTCAGGTGGCCCCCTTCCTGACCGGAACCCCACAGTTCCCCAAACACTAGGGTCCCAGATGCAAGCCCAGGCCCTGTTCGCTGAACCCCTGGGTTTCTACCCAGCCCGGCCCGCTGCGCCCTGCCCCCGGCCGGCCTCACACCTGCCTCTACCCAGCAGAGACCTCCCGGTGGCTGCAGTCGGAAGTGGAGAGCTGGCTCCTGGCCCAGTCCGGCTGTGACGTGGCTTTCAACGGATCCCGGGCCCTGGCCCACCTGCAAGCCCTGACGCCCAGCATCGGGCTCTACCCTCCCCCGGGTTTCCCCAGACTAGGCCCGTTGGCCCCAGGCACTGCCGAGGTCCCTCAGGCCACCCCCAGCAGTAGCGACCTCTGACTGCCACCTGGCCAGAGGCTAAGCTCCGCCCCCTCCACGACGGGCTGTCAATCACAGCTACTACGCTTTGTCACTCTCCCATGCCCAGTTACTGATAGGTAATTATCTTGACTGCGCTGTACATTTAAAGCAGCCAATCGAGGCTGCTGCCGGTTGCTAGGCATCTCCCCTTCAGGAATCCAGGCAGCTCTGCCCGGCTTCCGTTTCATTTCTTAGTCCCACCCACTCCCTAAACATTGAACTGGTTTGGCTGAGGTGAGGGTGTCAGCCGGTCCCAGCTGCTGAGCGCCGGCTCTGTAAGCCACCAGGCCGAGGGGTGAGAGCTGCGACTTCCCCAGGCTGCACATCACTGTCTTTTTAGCGCCCGGGGCAGCCTGCCCAACACGGGCACTGGGCGGGGCCTGGCACAGCCAATGAGAGTGGCTCGGACCCGCCCCCTGGCCGGCGGCCCACGACAGCTGCTGGGCACTGTCGGCCCGGGATAGCCCGTTGTCCCCGTAGGGAAGCAACCAATCCGAGTTCCTGGCGGAGCCTGGTCTTTGTATCCTTCGATGCGGCCGTGTACCAGCCATCTGGTCAACTGCTGATCAGGGTGTCGAGGCTGAAGGCGTTAGAACCTCGTACCAGGCCAGTAGCTGTGGACCTGGCAGAACCAGAGACCAACCACACCCCCACTCACTGCAGCTCAGGCTCCCAACGACCTCATGTGCCTTCCCCGCCTGGGGCCCTCACCTTCTCTACAGAAACTACCTCGGTCTGCAGCCTCCTGCCCCCTCCCCCATGCGTATTTATTGGTCTGTCAATTTCTTCCCAATCCCCTCTCCCAAAGAAATAAACCATGTTTAATAAATCTGGATGCGCAGGGTGACTGAACGGTTGGGGGCTGAGAATCCTGGAAAGGAGCTCTGCGTCTTTGGGGTGTGCCAGGCAGAGAAAGCTGCAGTCTTAGAGGGCTGGGTTCGAGGTTGCTGAAACAGACTGTGGGTCACAGAGGAGAATCTTAGAAGGACGACATTTCTGAGGACCTGATCCTGGGCCTCACGAGCAGGGACGATAGGGTGGCTATGTGGCATTGTGCAGAGTGTTCGCTGAGCAAAAGCACACAGCTGAAGGACGAGTGGCTGCAAAGTCCAGCCTGCAGACCAGTGTAAGACTAGGTCAGCCAGGAGGAGGGATGCACCTTCTGATTTTTACTAAGTGTGGTATCAGCTAGAGACAGCTTTTTGAGGGAGACAGGAGAAAAAGAAAAAGAGCAGCTGGGCGTGGTGGCACATGCCTGTAATCTCAGCACTTGGGAGGCTGAGGCAGGAGGATCTCTTCCAGTTCAAGGCCTGTTTGGGCTACACAGTGAGTTCAAAGCTAGCCTGAAGTGCATAGCGAGACCCTGTCTCAAAAAAGAAAAGGAAAGTCTGGGGATGTAACTCAGCGGCACAAATGCCTGTCTGGCAAACGCCAGGTCCTGAGTTTGATTCCCAGTACAAAAAAAAAAAAAGGGGGGCGGAGGGGGAAGAAAAAGAGGAAGGATGGGCCCCAGAGGGGAAGAGAGAATGGTTTCCAAGAGGGACAAAGAAAAACACTGTCCAGAGTGATTCTGGAACATATAAAGCATATTTGGGTCCCAAATAACAGAACCTTGAGCAGAGCTAGGACTGGACCATAGACCTCTGATCTTCTTCCCACTATAGCTCAGGTTGGTCTCAAAGTCAGGACAATCCTCCTGCCTCAGCCTCCCTAGTGCTGGGATCACAGGAGTGCCATCATGCCCAGTTTAGACTTCTAATAGGGTTTGCTGGGACTCTGGCTCCCTGTTCTTCCCCAGAAGTGTCTGCCAGTCTAAATTAGGTTGTCCCTGGGATCTTGGGTCCGGAGGAGGGCCAGGGTTTTGTCCCGAGTCCCCGGATGGGCGTTCCCACGGCGCAGAGGCTGGAGGTGGGGCCCTACCTGGTTGGGTTCAGGAGACTTCAGGTGTGTGTTGCCTCCGTCCCCTGGAGGAGTCAGGAAGGAAGGAAGGAGGCGAGGGCAGAAGGCCGCAATCAAACGGTTTTATTTGAGGGAGGATGTGGCCTGGGCAGCGGGCAGGGCGCTCACTCCCGCTTCCGCAGGTGGATGTAGACGATACCACTGACCAGCGCCAGGGGGAAGGCCACCCAGGCCAGCGCGAAGCAGTACCCGAAGCTGCCCCCGCGTGGGTGCTTCGCCACGATCTCCTCGGCGTGGATGGCGTAGATAAGGGCCCCGGAAAACACGGCCACGCCTGCAGGAACACGAGGCAGGCGTCAAGCAGTGCAAGCAGGGAAACGGCAAGTTCCACCCACCCGAGAGGGCCATACTCGGCCTGCGGAGCGTGGCTCTCAACCCTGAGAAAGTGATCGAGCTACTGCAGAGTAGCCTTGGGGAATTTAACTTTTCTGAGTCTCATTTGCTCCTCCATAAAATGGGACGGTGATATCCACATACTCTCTCCACCCATGCATCCGCCCACCCTCCCATGCACCCATGGGATTTTTTGTCTCTAGTACTGAGGTTTGAACCCAGGGCCTCTGCACTGAGCTACATCCCCCGTCTTTTTATTTTTTATTTTTTTTTGAGACAGGGTCTTGCTAACTTGTTAAACTGCCCAGCTGGCTTAAATTTATGATCCTTCTGCCTCAGCCTCTCAGAGTGCTGGCATATTGAGTTTATTTATTTACTTTTAGTATTTTTGAGACAGAGGTTTATTATGTAGTTCAGGCTGGTCTTGAACTCGCTATGTAGCCTAGGCTATCCTGTAATTTGTGACGATCCTCCTGTGTTAGCCTCCTGAGTACTGAGGTTTTGAGTTTGCACCCCTGTGCCCAGAGGAGTTTTTTTCTTTTCTTCTTTTTTAAACAAGCCAGATATGCAATAGTGAATTAATAAAACAGGAGCGGGTCTTTACAAGAATGCAGAAAGATAATGTTCCTCAAACCAAGGACTATGATTAACCAAGTCCTTTGATGGTTTAAATAAAAAAATTAAAAAGTAAAATCTCTCCCAAGTGTCTGATACATGGTAGCTATGTAAGAAATAGTGGCTGGATAGGCTGGAGGTGGTGGCACACGCCTGTAATCCAAGCACTTGGGAGGCTGAGACAGGAGGACTGTTGGGAGTTGGAGGTCAGCTTGGACTACATAGTGAGTTCAAGGCCAACCTGCACTACATAGTGAGACCCTGTTTCCAAAAACCAAAACCAAAACCAAACAAAAGGAAACAGTGGTAGGCTGACATAAAAAAAATTACCACTATGATTCAGATATCCCTTCTGGGGTGCTCATTAGTCACCCCTATCCCTGGGACCCAAATTATTTACCTAAACTCCCTTCCCCAGTGCAGGCTCCTTGGGTTCCCCAAACTGCCCCGTGATTCAGAGAAACACGTCAAAACGAGTCACCCAAAACTACAACTCCCACCAGTCCCTGGGGCAGAGCGGGCGTCCAGGGAGACACCCGAGGCGGTTCTCGGGCTGTGGAAAAGGTTTTCTTTCAGCAGAAGTCTGTTCTCTGGGCCCCAGTACCCCATCCCAGTTCCAGGGCGGGCGAGGGGCAGCGCTTACTGGTGCAGAGCTGGCAGAGGCCGGTGGCGTAGAAGAGCCCCCCTCGCCGCATGGTGTACAGCTGGAACATGAACAGGATGAAGGACAGGCAGCACAGGATGAGGGACAGCACCATGAGCACCTGCACCGCCTTCAGCCAGCCTGCAGCAGGGAACACGGGGGTGGAGGTCGCAGGAGGCCGGGACTCCGCTTCCCGCTTGCTCAGACTTCGCCCCTTCACTTCCGGTCCCCCTGCCCCATTAAGAGCCCCGCCGCGTGGACACCTCGGAGTACACTTATGTGACCTTGAGCCGCGGGACCTTGCTAAATTCCTCCATCACCTCTGGTGGTTGCTTTGCAGAAGTTTAAGGGTTTTTACATACACAAATATGTGTCCTAGGAATAGAGCTACTTTGGACTAATTCCTTCCATTTCTTTCTCCTGTTTTGGCTGATGCCGGGACAAGGTGGAAGAGAAATGAGAGCTAACTGCCGGCTTTGATCTTAGAAGAAAAGCACTTAATCTTTCCTATTTTATTTTATTTTATTTTTTGAAGTACTGGGATGGAACCTAGAGCTAGGCAAGCCACAGCCCCACTTTCCTTCCCTTGGAACTGCAGGGGGATGCGGGTAGATCCCCTTAGAATTTGGAACCCTAAGCTGGTTCTGGCTCCTGCCCCTCCCATGTACCATCTCGAACACAAACTCCTCCGCTTAGACCTTTGGAAATAGAACCTTCTCAGAACGTTCGGGTCTCGCTTCCCATTCCTTCAACCTGTAGCATGTGGCCTTCAGCCCTGCAGACTTTCTGAATCCTGAGGGGGTCAGTGCTGTTGGCCCATCTGCTTTAGAACGCGAACAACTGCCCACTAGCATCTAGACAGGCGGGGCGCCACCACCCCACTCGCGCGGCCTGCATGCGCGTTGAAAAGTTAGGGCCTGGAGGAAACTTGGGGCCCCCTCCAGGTCGCAGCCCAGTCGTCGCCCTCGGCCCTCACCGTTCTCGCTGACGTTACTGCAGCCCCACGTTTTGGTGTCGTTGTTCCACGTGCAGTCGTACCAGAGATTCAGGGACTCCTTTCCGGGGAGAGTCCACCAGGACTGGGGTGGACGGAGAGACCGGCCGGGGTTAGGAGGGGGAGGTGGGCGGGGTGCGGGGAGGGTGAGAAGCAGGGCCAGGGCGGAGCTGGGGGCAGGGATGCAGGAGGAAAAGGTGGGAAGGGGAAGCGAGGACGTGGGAAGCGGACAGGTGAAAAGGTCGAGGCTGGGAAAGAGGGCGGGGCTAGAGTGGGGGTTTTTAGAGGGGCGTGGCCAGAGCTGCCCCGCCCCCAAGGGTTTACCTTATCCAGAGTGGCCACGAAAAGCAGGATGAGGATGAGGATGTGAAGGGCAGAGACCACCAGCAGGAGGAGCGACATGGCTGCGATGGAAGCCTGGGGGCGGGACGTCAGGTGGTGGAGGATCAAGGGGCTGGGACAGAGGCTGGGAGACTGAGCGAGGTTGGGCCTGGACCCCGGGTCTGAGGGAGGGGGCTGGGGCGGGTCTGAACTTCTGGGTATGAGGGAGAAGTGGCTGGGACTAAACTCTTGTGCCTCTCAGGGAGAAGGAGGAGGAGGAGGTTGAGTCCTAGACTCCTGTGTTCCTTGGGGCAGGATGCAGACTGCCAGAGACCCCCTCTAGGGTGCTGGAATGCAGCCCCTGTGTCCTCCGAATCCTGTCCCTAGGGACACATGGGCCAACGTGAAAATTCAAGTGGACCCTGCCCTCTCCAATTTATCAGGAATTAGTGGTTGCCCCTAGCAACAGGCATCCTTGACTCACACCACTCCCTTCCTGGGTGGGAGGAGGAGGGGGACCAGGGTGAGTCACCCGTGACTCATTCACCCCCCTGGCTCCAAGCGCCAGGGAAACCCCAGCCCCTGGCTATGTCCACGAGGTCCCCGCCCCAGCCCGCTGCCCGCTGTGGGTGGACATCTCCTGGAGACATGATGGGATCCCTGCTAGGGGAGTGAGGGCCGAGAATAAGGAGGCTATCCCGCCTTCAGGGGCCAACAGCGGGCCCGGAGGTCCCCTCCGACTGGAGGCGTTCTCAAGCCCCTCCTGACCTCAGGGCCCTCAGGAGCGAGTAGCGAGTGCTGGGGAGAAGTTTTCCCACTGGGAGTTCCGCTGGGACCCCCCCAACCCATGCCAGACCCGCCCCTTCCTGGCTCCTCACCCCGAGCGAACGCTAAGAGAGCACTTCTTAAATTACAAGGTTCCAGGGGCTTGAAAGCGGGAAGCCTTTCCGGGCCTGGACGGATCTGTCCCAAAGTGCTGCTCCCCCAAGTAAATAAAGAAATCCCAGTCCGAATAACGGACTGGAAACTCACCGAGCGCCGCGGAGAAAGTCAGGGTTGGAGCCTCGTCCCTCGCTGGGCCTCCGTGCCCCGCCCTTATGCTCCCTCCTTTCCCCTCCGAGGCCCCCGCCTCCCGGCCGCCTTCCTCCCTCCTTGCACCTCCCAGCCCTTGGGTGCCGCTGCCTCGCTCTCGCTCTCCGGCCCTCAGCCCCTGGGCTCCTTGTCTGGGTCCTGTGTCTGTCTCTGCTCCTTAATATATACCGACCCTTTTATATCACCCTCACCGCGCCCCGCCGAGGTCCGCAGCGGTGGGAGGGCCCCGCTTTGCTCATTCCCTGCCCCCACCCTGTGCCCCCAGACTGGCATCTGCCGGGGCTTCCTCAGAGTCAGGGTGGGGCAAGCCTGGGGCGGGGATCGGAGCCTCGATCCTTCGGTCTGAGGGAGGAGGACTGGGGCTTGACCCGGGATGGGCGTCTGCCCTCTGTCCTGGAGTTTGGGGCTGAGGGAGCTGGAGTTCACCGAGGAGTCCAGGTTTCAGGATGGGAGGAATATGCCAGACTCTGGAAATGGGCTGGAAGTAGAAGTCAAGAATCCCAGCGCCAGCATTTCCAGGCTGGGGGATCTGGGCCAATTATTTCACCTCTCAGGACCTCAGTTTCTGCATCTGTGTGCTGGGTGTAATGCTACTGATAACATTCTAACGCTGGCAAAAGTAATCGTGCTGGGTATTCTGGATGGAGAAGGTGATACTGGCATGCTGACAAACTCAAGCCATTCCTTTCTTCTTTCAAACATTTATTCAGCAGGTACTGTCAAAGTGGAAATTAATAATGAAAAAAAGTACCCGTGTGCTCAGCAGTTATGAAGCTTGCCTTCTAGCAGAGGGAGATGATTACCAAAGGAAACTTGTCTGTGAGGAATACAAATTTTTTTTTTTTTTTTTGCCTTTTTGAGACAGGGTATCACTATGCAGTTTAGGCTGCCTTTGAGTTCACTTTGTAGCCCAGGCTGGCCTCGAACTTGCCTCCTGCCTCAATCTCCCAAATGCTGGGATTACAGATATGTGCACCCACGCTCTGTGAGGAACACAACTTTTCAAAGTGATGAGTGCTTTGGAGGAAGTAAAGCAGTGGAGATGGGTGTGTGTGTGCTTGAAACAGGGTAATCAGGGGAGGCTTCTCAGAGGAGGTGACGGTTAAACTAAGACTTGAAGACAGGAATCCTTTGATGCTAGGAGAACAGGAAGTGCGAAGGTTCTGGAGAACAAGCTCCAGTTGTTTGGGGAGCAGACAGAAGGGCCAGTGTGGCTGGAGGACAGGCAGCCAAAGGAGGGAGGGGAGGGAAATCAAAGGGTGCCCTTGAAGACCGAGGGAGGAGTTTGGAGGTTCTGCCGAGTGCAGCGGGAACCCGTGAGGGGTTCAGCAGAAGTATACAGCATGTACCAGGGACCAAGTTTTAACCGTGCACCCGGATGGCTCAGCAGGGCACCATGTGTCAGGGTCCACATGAATTGAAAGTTGGGAAGTGGGACGAGAAGGGGTGTCTGGGTTTCAGATGAGGCCAGAGCCAGGTGTGGTTGTCTCACCTCCTGAGAGTGGGAGGGGTACAAGTGCAGCGCAGTCCCTAGAGCCAGATGGGCTGGCTTCACATCCAAAGCCCTTTTACTCACTGGCTGCAAGTTACTAATAACCTCTCTATGTCTCAGTTAGTTTCTTTCTTTCTTTCTTTTTTCTCTCTCTCTTTCTTTTTTCTTTGTCTTTTTGAGACAGGGTCTCACAGTGAAGTTCAGGCTGGCCTTGAACTCACTACGTAGTTAAGGCTGGTTTTGAACTCACAAAGATCCTCCTGCCTCAGCCTCCCCAGTGCTGGGATTATAGGCTGCGCCACCATTGCCTGTTTTCTTTTTCTTCTTTTCTTTCTTTTTTTTTTTTGGTGTGGGTCTTTTGAGACAGGGCCTCACTATTTAGTCCATGCTGTCCTTGAACTCAGAGCAATCCTCCTGCCTCAGCTTTCCAAATGCTAGGATGACAGGCTTGCATCGCCACGCCTGGCTGCCTCTGTTTCTTTATTTGTAAAGTAGGGGTGTAGTAAATATGTTAGTAAGTGTAGTTCTTAGAGTTGTCTTAGCACATAGCAGGCACGGTGCCAGCTGTGCTACTTCTACCAGGCAGTGGGGCCCTGAGGGGATTCAGGAGTGCTCTGATTCAGGGTCTCCAGGAATTAGAGAAAGAGCGAGTTCTTGGGTTCACTAGGTCCCCGAGGCTAAAGTTTGGAATGCAAAATGAGGATCCCTAGGGGAAGAGAATAAATAGCTCTGAACTAAAACTCCGGAGAGAGATGGAGACTACAGACTAGGAACTCTGATCCTGAAGGAAGTTAGAAAGTGCAAGTCCCCGGAGGAAAAGTTAGGGGAACAGTGTGCGCGCTGTGTGTATCTCAGAGGAAGAGTGCAGGGTTAGGGAGCTGACTTTCAGTTCTAGGAGGAGAGGAACAGGGGCTAGGGGAATAGACACTTAAGCGGGGAGGTGGGAACAGCACTCTAGCAGTCCACTCAGGTTCCCAGAGTTGAGTCAGCGCCAGGCTGGGGTACCCTGGGGGACGTCCGGGCTCCGTGCAAGAGGAAGAATCAGTAGACCCGAAGGCGGTAGTGGGATCTTCCCCACCCTGGCCTCTGAAGATGCAAGCTGAGCTGAGCTGAGCTGAGCGCTCGCGGCTGCTTCCTCCCACAGGAAACCGCAGGCGGCGGGCACACCCAGCCTGCAGGGAGAGGCGCCCACTGTCCGCCCGCTCGGGAGGCCCACGTGGACAGCAGCAGGCGGCGCGGGCGAGTTCTGCGGAGAGGGGGTGTGGCCAGATGAGGCCACGCCCACCAGGCTCTCCGGGCTCGGACGCTGAAGGTGGCCTAGCGCTTTTGGCTGCTTCTCCTCCAGCCGTTGGTCGCGCATGCGTAGTGAGTCTCTGCGACGACCTGCGACCGTGGTGAGCGCTCCTCTCTCTCACAAGTCCCGGTGGCGGCACTGCTTCTTGCTAATGAATTCTTAAAATAACGTGGTCTTAATCAGCCTAAGGCGCGCATTTCTTGGGCTTGGGCCCGTCCCACAGAACCTTGGCCTGGCCTTAAAGCCTCCCAGACATTTCCCTCCAGGGTCTCCAACTCCTGCCGCTCCCCACAGGACACAGCCCGCTGCTCACATCCCTCCCTACCCTCACAGCCCGGTGCTCCCACACAGAACATCCCGCTCCCCACAGGCGGGGGCCCCCAGCAGCCCTCTTCTCCTTGCCACCCTCCCGCCAAGTCCCTCGCGAGTTTTTCCACTCTTCTCCCATTCTGCGCCTTACTCACCGGAGCCCCGCCCCTCGCCAGCCCTTGCCCCGCCTTCACAGGTCCGTGGCCCCGCCCCTTGCAGCTCCGCAGCCCCGCCCTTCGTCGGACCTGCCCTTTACAGTACCCAAGCCCCTCCTCTTGCCCCACCCCTTAAACCTCCTGGCCAGCCCCTGTCAGCCCCGCAGCCTCCCTCTCATTAATTGCCTGAGCCACGCCCCTCACCAATCCCCGAGGTCCCGCCCTTTACAGTGCCCGAGCCCCTCCCTCTGCCTCGCCCTTTACGCGCCCTGCTCAGTGTGTTTTCCTGGCTCTTCCTCCTCGCCCCGCCCAATAAATCTCTGGCTCCTCCCCTGTCGCTCCCGCAGCTCCGCCCCTTGCCCCGTGCACTGTCGCTCCCTTTACAGGACCTGAGCTCTCCTCCCGCCCATGGCCGGTCCCTGACTCCTCCCCACGGCTTCCCGAAGCCCCGCCCCCAGAGGGCCCTCTCGGCCCGCCCCTCGCAGCCCCGGCCGCCCGTCAGTCTTAGCCCTCGAGGGGCGGGGCTTCCATTCACCCTCCCCGCGGCCTCCGTCCCTCCCCGGCCGCTGTCCTCCGGCCTCATTGGCCTCTTATTTCCCCAGTAACCAGATCACAACAGTGAGTTTGCAGCACCAAGGACAGGTCAGGCACTCGAGCAGGTAGGGGTGGGGTGTCCCCTCTGTCCTGCTGCTGTCCTAGGGAGCCGGGCCTCGGAGGTGCCGGGAGCCAGCCCGGGAGCCCAGGCCGAGCCCGACAGTGTGGGCGGTGGGAGGCCGGACCCGGCCCTGCATCCCCTTGGAGGAGCTGAGACTCGGGGCGAGGCCAGAGTGGTTGTGTGTCCCCCCCAGAACCTTGCCTGCCCGCTGCCTGAAGGCTCCGTGTCCTCCCTACAGGAGACCCGCCGTCTTTGGCCACGATGCCTTTGGGATTCTCTACAGTGAGCCTCCGCTCCGAGGAGGGCAGCGAGGGCTTCCTGGACAGCCTGGGTAATTGGTGTTCTTTCTCAATCCACTCATTCTTTTTCTGTCCTCAGCGTCCCCATGTTCAGGTCCCCTGCCCAGGGGTCGGGGACGGCGAGGCCTCTCAGGAGCGCCCTCTAGTGGGGAGCGGACGTGCACCCAGGTGGGGGTGGCTCGGCCGCATGGGTGGGCCAGGCCTAGGCAGTGGAGGGGTCCAGGCAGACTTCGGCTGGCAGCAGAAGTTTGATCCGGGCAGAACTTCTCCTAGGGATTGCGCTGGGGAGAAGAAGGGACGGGTGTTTGCACCGAGAACAGCATGTGGCTCTAAAGGAGGGTTTCTCAACTTTGGTATTGTTGACAGTCGGGGTGGGCTCATTCTTTGTTCTTCTTGTCCTGACCTGTGCATTGTGACAGGCTTCTTCTCCTCAGCTGTCAGTACCCCCTCTTGCCCTAGGCGCGACAATCAGAAATGTCGCCAAACAGTGTCAAATGTTATGGGAGCCGAAATGCACCTGGTTGAGAACCACTGGGTCTTGGTGGGTAGGAGCTGGTGGGCGGGACTGGGGAGATGCATAGTGTCAGGTCATGTGGGGCCCTGAACGCCAAAGCCAGGCTGAGTTGCTGAGGCTGTCCTGAGGGTCCTGGGGCACCTCGGAGGCCTGTGAGCAGCAGGAGGGGCGGAGTCCTGGAGAAGGAAGGCCCCTGGGAACCGCGCAGGCGGGTGAGGAGGAGTCCGTTGCTAGTTCAGGCAGGAAGGGGGAGCCTGGGCCCGGGGACCAGAGGGGAGAGGGAGGGGGCTGCACGAAGAAGGGAGCCCACTTGGATGCTCGATCCGGGGATATCAGCGGCCTTCCAGGGCGCCCTTAGTGGTAGGAACCAAGCTGCGCCCACAGTCGGAGTGGAAAGCGAGGTCAGCTTGGGGTGGAGCCAGGAGGGAGCCTGGGGAGTGCAGGGCCGCAGTTCCTTTGCAGTTTGTGGAACTCTAAGGGGTCAGAATTCCCGAGTGCCAGGGAGGAAGGGGATGCCCATGGCGTCTTTACCCTCCACAGACTGGGAGCTGAGCAGACTGCAGCGACAGTACAAGGTGATGGAGGTGGAGAGACAGGCCTACAGCAAGGAGGTCCACCAGCGCCTCAAAAAGCAGCTGTGAGCCCGGCTTGGGCCCTGTCCTCGGAGGGGTGTCGGGGCTGTGGGGCCGCCAGCCTTTAGCCTCGCTGAGCCCTGCCCCCTCCGCCCTCTCCTGCACCCCGGCCTGGGCAGGGAGGAGATCCAGCATCTGGAGGAGGTGCGGGCCGAGCTCCAGACGAAGATCAGAGTGGCGCAGACCCAGGTGAAGCGGCTGCGGGACGGCGAGCGGCTGGAGAGCATGGGCCGCCTGCTCAAGTGCAGGGCGCAGGTGCAGGCGGAGGTGGAGGAGCTGCGGGAGCAGAGCCGAGCCCTGGACAAGCAGGTGGGTGTGCAAGTTCAGCTCTGCAGGAGCCGTGGCTGGAGTTGGGGCCTTGGCAGCAGAGGTGTTTCCCTGCCGGGCTGTGTGCCCACTCCTTCTCAGTGCTAACTGGAAAGGCTCACTTTCTCGGACTGAGAAGCTGCGCTGGGATCCTGGCTGTGCCACCCTGGGGCTGTGTCGCTATCTATGAGTGGGTCTTTGCCTCTCCAGCACCAGTTTCTTCATTTGGAAAAAGGATGATGGGGACAGCAGAATCGAGGCAGGTTTCTAATCCGGTGCCTCGGGACCTTGCTTTCTGACCTTGCAAACAATATGGTTTTTCTTCTTTCTTTCTTTTTTTCTTCTTTCTTCCTTCCTTCCTTCCTTCCTTCCTTCCTTCCTTCCTTCCTTCCCTTCTGTCTTTTTTTTTTTTT